ATTCCCATTGGAGCCTCCCCCGTTCTTGAAGGTTTAACACTAATACTCAGTGATGCTACTACTGTCTACACAAACAGAAAAAAATCCAAAAAGTACCAGAGCACAAAAGCCATGTTAAATAAGATCAGGCAAGATCACTGCCTATGAAGGATGAACCCTGAGAAGCAGTTCGTTATCTGACAAACCACTAACAAAGTGGTTTCTTTCATAAAAACTGATGTGTTATACCACCTATGGAAGGCAATCAGTATCATCAAGTTGAGGAGATGTCAGCTTCCTGCAACAGATAAGCATTCCAAGTGATCTCAAATGCTTGATTTGATCAACATCTAATCCTTAGCTTGTTTTTCCATCCTCCATCATGCAGTCAAGGTTAACCCAGAAAATCAGCTGAGGAAGATTACAAATTGTCTTCACTGTCCTAAAGCAGTAACAAGAACATTTCCACCGAAAATTTTAATTCATGTTTTGAATCTCATTGCCCTTGTGTATTGAAATTCCTGTATTTAAGCCTCTGTACACATTTTCCCACTCTTACTTTAATCCTATGGGAAAATTTGCTTCATACTCTCCACTGAAGTCAGCTGCTTTGTCTGCAAGCCTGACAACAGCACTTTTAATCAGCAATGGAATGCAAACAATGGCTACAGAAGCAAGGGCAGGCAAAACATGCCTGTATTAGCTATTTCTTCATTCCAGCTTTATTCTTCATATTTGTGTTTAACCCAAGTTATTTTATACAGAGTATTTTTACATTAATTACTTGTAGAACTTGATGTGAACGTCACTGTTTTCCTTCATTCCAAACTAAAACTGAAAAAACAGATCAAGTGAATCCTTACAGACTGTAGTTGTTTACTGTAACTACTTTAGAAGCCTTCTAAAACAAGCTCCATAAGCAGGGGATGGTTGTTTGGAGATTTTTTTCAGGTTTGTCATTCAATTACTTGATGCACCATTGTTAAACCAAATTTGGATCATTAAAATACCCAATAAATTGACCCCATATACATATACCACATTTGCCTAGCATTTTAGATAATAAATCTAAAAATCAAACTTCCTTCTATGGTTAAATCATTAGAAGTAATTCAGCATTTATTTAAAATATTTGCAACCAAGATTTGATCTACGTTATATTTCACAAATTCATTAGCCAGTAGCTGTGATAATCTAAAAGGGGAAGGGAAGCTTTATTAAAGATGTGGTTTTGTTTAAAGTCGTCAGTGTCCAATGCAGGCAAACAAGTACTGAGAGAGGCAGCAAGATTGCTGCTACAGCCAATCAAAGTTCACAAAAATGAAACTGCTCCATGTTTTAAAATAACATTTATCTAGGCACAAGCAGCAGTCTGTCATTCCGTATTTGAAAATGAACATAAACTCAATGACATCAGATGATTAAACATCTGGTACCTATCATTTGTAAATTGAGGGCTTTATAGCAACTACCTGTTGTTTAATGATCACCGGGGTGTAATATCCCAAATACCCATGTGGTCACAAATGCCTAAAAAAGCCACTGAACACGCAGGACAAAGATGGAATTTTTCTACTTAACTACCTTTCTGAACTCATCCAGCAGTTACGATGCAGAGCACTCAGAGTGACTTCCAATGTGCTGTAAATATTTCTATACAAATTGGTACAGAGCTGACTTCTCTATATTTCTTTAGGGCAAAGATCTCAATTCAGAACAAATAAACACTCTTCTGGTTAACCAACTCCTTCATAAGCACGACCTTCCCCTGACTACTGAAGTCACCCGACTCTCAACAGACCCTTTGAGAAAGGGGAATTCGCAGCAGTTGCAGCCAAAGCCAAGCTCGAGAGGCAGCAGATGCCGAGCCCCGGCCCAGCCGCCCTCCTTACCCCCCGGAGCAGGCGCTCAGGGCCCGCAGCCGGTTGCAGAGAAACAAAAGATGGCCTTGGCCTTCAGCGACTGAGTCGGAGGCAGCAAGGGCGGGGAAGGCTTCACAGGCTCTGCCGGGGAGCACCGTCCCTGCCCATCATTGCACCTAGCCACGCCTTAAGTAAAAAAAGAAACCCAAACAAAAAAAAAAAAAAAACAACCCTCCCGTGCCCCTACCCCCCAATTCATCGCGGTGCCCCCGACACTCTTCAGTCTCTCTAAGCCACAGGAGACCCACATCTCGAAACGCAGCGGGGTGCCCTCAACACCCACCCCACCCCCACCCCCCACCCCCCCCATCACCTAGGCTGCCGTTCTCCCGCAGCCCCATAAAACCCCCAGGCTCACAGAAATGCCTTCAGAGGCAACCCCCGAGTCCCCATCAGCCCCATATCACCCCCAAAACGCATAGAGATGCTCCCAAGATCCTCCTGAGCCTCACCTCACCCCCGAATTCCTGGGGGGAGCCCCTGAACTCCACACCCATAGCCCTACTCCAAGCTCCTAGCTTCGCTTCATCCTTTAATTCAAAGAAGTTCCTCCCAAATCCCTTAGCCTTAGACGCACAAAAGCACCCCGAGACTCCTCAACGGGAGCTCCCACCACCCCCAGCTCACAGAGGGTGTCCCCAAGCTTGTGTGTACCCCCCCCCACCCCCCAGCTCACAGAGGGGGTCTCCGAGCCCTCCCCCCGCCTTCCCACAGCCCAACTCAGCGGGGTAGCCCCCCTCCCCAGCATCCCACCAAAGGGCCCCTCACCTGGCGGCGGGGCCCGGGTGGGAGCCCACAGAACGCGCAACAGAGGCGATACCCGGGACCCGGCCGAAACAACCTCCGCGCCGCGGCAGCCGCAGCGGAACGCCGCCCTGCCGCCGCCGCCACCGGATTTCAAATTTCAACGACAACCCCCGCCAGCGAATGAGGACGCGGCATGCAGAACGCGCCCGCCAATCAGAGAGGCGCCCTGCCGGTGGGCGGGGACAGCCGCGACCGTGGGCCGCTGAGGGCCCGCGGGAGGGCGCTCCCGCGCGGGGCATGTCGGGAAGGGTAGTGTGCAGCGGCCCTGTAATGGCGTCGCGCCGATGCCGACAGCGGTTGAACAGCTCGGCTCCGGGGCGCGGTGGCTGGTTTTGGGGGGCAAAATTCCGCGTTTGGTGTTTTTTCGGGAAGAACCGCCTGAAGGATCAGTGGTGGTGCTGCTAGTCCAAGCGCGGTCCCCGTAAGGACTTAAAGTTATTTCTGGGGACAGAGACACGCCTGCAAATTCTGAGGTAAATAATGCCACCTTTAGCACGAGGTTTCAGAAGAGCAAATTCTCAAAGCCTTTGGCTGTGGGAGGAGTGAAGTAAGAGGGCTGGGACAAACTGCTGAAGGCACATTGAGATTTTTACAGATCCCGGTGTTTCGGGCATTGGCTGCCCGGTTGCCTCGCTCTATGGCCAGGGGAAGGCCAGGCAGGCACTTGCCCTGTCTCACTGCTTTGTGTTACACACACACAGGTCTGCACTGAAGCCAAGAATTCAGCCTCAATATCCATAACTGGGCCAGAATTTGAGATGTAGGCTCCAATATTATTCTTGTAGGTGATTGCTATGGAGGAATTGGGTCTGGGGCTTACGCTAGGCCAGGCTTTGTAGAAGAGGTCAATGTAAGTAAATCTAGAGTGTCCTCTGAGACTCAGTCCTGTGTCAAGTTTTGATACCATTAGGACTCTTCAAAGGAAATGTAGCTTGCTGATGTAGAGTTTAATGCAAGGATCAGCTCAGATGCTGGGAAGCTTTTGGAAAGGGAAGGTCCACATTTAAATTTTGGTTCTGTGCAGAGATCCACGTTGATAAATAAATCCACGTGAACTTCTGTTGTCTTCAGGACTTCTGTACAGCTGGCCCATGTAGCTGTTAGAGCATTTTACTTCTCTTCCTCCCTTACAACATAAACCCCTCAGTCCACTGTAGCCCCAAGTACACCCACATCTGTTATTCTGCTTGAAGTCTTCTGAATAAAACCACAGAAAACTTGCTGCTTCACAACCTGATTTTTATTGTTGAACTTTGTAGTCCATACCACAAATTAAAATGTTCCTTACTGTTGAATCATTAGACAGCAACAATGAAATGATTGTTCAAACAATAAACTTGCTAACGATGTCTTTTAGAAGGAAATAAGATGCCCATAATCCAAGCATCATTCTACTGATGCAACTGTTAATCAGGAGTCACTACACCACCATGAATTCCCCATCTCCACAACAACAGTAACACACCAGCCATCTGCCAGCATAAGAATTCACATTCTGGGGGCGGCATTTCCTATTGACTTGGTTCCCCACCAGTAGTAGCGTGTAACATTGCGTGCTGCTTTCTCTGCCGTGCTTTTCCAGTTATACAATTTCCTCTTTCTCTAAAGAGAGACAAATACGGCAGTTTATAGTTATGATGGGGTGCAAGCAGGGGTTTTGTTGCATTCTAAGGGAAAGGGCAGTTCTCGTGGCTATTAGCTAGTCGTTGTACTTCAATAGTAACTGGAGATCCCCGTCAGGCCTCTCCTCTTACTGTGTGTATGTTTACAGGAGTGTACAAAGGTATCTTAAAACCTGTCTCCCTTTAAGGCCTTTTAAGATCTTACGCCCCTGTCTGAACCATTTGCTAAAGAAAGCACTGCATAAAACACACCAGGAAAAACAAGACCCTTAAGTAAAACAGACCATTTGCCTACTCGGGAAGGATGCTGCCCTCATCCAGCCGAGCTCTTTTAAGTTTAGAACTGGAATTCGTTTCTTTTGCCAGGCCTGTGAAGCATAACCTTGGAAGTGTATGAAGCAGGAGGCCACAGCGGGAGGGTGGGGTGGGCTTACTGGGAGCGTCGAGCCTGGGGGCGAGTGAGGGGCCCGGTAGCCAGCTGGAGCGGGGCGGTGGCCGCGGGGGCCAGTAGCCAGCCGGAGCGGGGCCGTGGCCCCGGGGGCTCGCCTCCGGGGCAGGCGGGGACGGGGAAGGGGGGGCTCCCCGCCGTGCCCCCCCCGGCCCGCACGCAGCCGCGGCCGGCTCCGCCCCAGCGGCACTGCAGGCCGGGCAGCGGCCGCGCCGTCCATCCGGGGCGGCGGCGGGAACTACCGCTCCCAGGGAGCCGAGGGGCGGGAGCCGAGCCGTGCCCGGCGGGGCGCAGCATGGAGAGCCCGGCGCTGACCTTCACCCTGGCCTACGTGGTGTTCGCCGTCTGCTTCGTCTTCCCGCCCGACGAGGTGCGCTCGGCGGGGCTGACGGTGCAGAGCCTGCTGGCGGCCTGGCTGGGCAGCGAGGACGCGGCCTTCGTGCAGTACCACCTGCGGCGCAGCACCGGCACGCTGCTGGCGCACTCCCTCCTGCCTCTGGGTGAGCCCCGCCGGGAGGGAGGGCCGGGGGCGCGGGGGTTCCACGCGGGCACGGCACCCGCGGGTGTGAAGGGCTAACCCGCTGCCGCCCTCAGCCTGTGCTCCTGAACCTGCTGTGCCCGGCGGGGGCAAGGGGGTTGCCGCCACGGTCTGAGCGCCAGGTGCACGCAGGTGCGAGTGATTCGGGTTACCCTGGACATCTTTGAAATACGGTGTTTTGGTGTCACTCGAGCTCCTTTGTAATGCGCACCCTAAGCTTTCTAAGTAGCTGGCTGCGTTGGAGTACATCCAATTACAAAGGACCAGCATTTTATTTAACTAGCAAATTCACATCCCCTTCCTTCACCTGAACAATACTGCTACAACTAAGTGGCACCTTGTCGATAATTTTATTTAACCTGCAAATTCAGATCAGCTTCCTTTAGGTATATAACTGTGGTAAAAGTTGCATCTTGCTGGTAATTTTATTTAACCTGCAAATTCAGATCAGCTTCCTTTAGGTTCATAACTCTGGTAAAAGTGGCATCTTGCCGGTAATTTTATTTAACCTGCAAATTCAGATCAGCTTCCTTTAGGTTCATAACTCTGGTAAAAGTGGCATCTTGCCGGTAATTTTGTTTAACCTGAAAATTCACATCAGCTTCCTTTAGGTTCATAATTCTGGTAAAAATCAATGACAGGTAAAAATTTACCTCAGATTGCTTAGGATGAGAGGCTTGAATTTGAGTTGTCATCCAGATGTACAATAGCTCTCCTGGAGGTGAGCTCACTGGTGAGATAACCATATGATTCAGGTGTGTGTGTTTATGCATGTGCTTAATTGCTTTCTGAAAGTAAGTCTTTCTCCTTGCAGGTTATTACCTTGGTATGTGCTTTGCTGCACCTGAAAAACATCTTTATTTTTTCTACCTGGCTCCAAAAGGATGGAAAACTTTCTTCTTCTTCGCTGTTCTCTTCCCAGCAGTCACCAGTGCCCTGGCATATTACTGGTCACGGAAAGGTTGGAAAAATCATCCGTTAGCCCGAACGCTTGCTGTTTATGCTCTCCCGCAGTCGGGTTGGAGGGCAGTAGCTTCTTCCATCAATACAGAATTTAGAAGAATCGACAAATTTGCTACGGGAGCCCCAGGAGCGAGGGTGATTGTTACAGACTCGTGGGTGATTAAAGTGACCACCTACTGCTTACATGTTGCCCAGCAGCAGGACATTCATTTGACAGTTACAGACTCCAGACAGCATGAACTCACCCCAGATTCAAACATGCCTGTGCAGTTCCTCACCATCCGTGTTGCCAGTATTAATCCCTACGTGAAGGCATTTGATATACGGTAAAACAACTACCCTCTTATGCTATATATATGCTATTTGACGGTGCTAATGGAGTGCTTCTGTGGAAGATCTGAAGACTCCTTGAGCTTCATCCCTTCCTTTTTGCTCCCTGCCTGGTGTTCAGAGATGCTGTATGTGTGGTTCTGCTATGCTGTGCAATGAAGAAAGGTTGTTTTTAGAAAAATTCATACACCTCCGGTATTGAATGCACAATGGTTAAACAGAGGGACTGTCCTGTTTGATCCATTCTTAGGAAGAGGATTGTGCTGGATGCAGAGATAAGTAACTTGAAAGACTTGGGTGAAAGATGGAGAATAGGAATGGAAGGAAGAATATTTGGTCTTCCAAGCTAAAACTGGTTGTTGTTCACCCATGAACAACATGGGGTTTTTTGTTTCTTCTGCTCAAGGCTTGTAATTTTGTCATTGCTTGGAAGAGTTCTTGCTGAGCTACTGCAAGCCAGCTGCCCTTAAAGCAAGGAAGTAATTTTGGTTCATTTCTGATTAATGTGTTCTCGTTGCAGTAAATCATAGCAAACGTGCTGTGAACTGTTAGGGCTTACTTTGCAAGGGCCCATGCTGTTTTTTTCAGCAGTCTCTCTAGCTAGGCAGAAGTACAAATTCCACAGAAACCTGTAACACTGAGTAGAAGAGTGCTAAAGTCTTTGTTGTCACTTTGTCATTAAAAGGAGTACACAAAGCGATGTTAGTGCTCCTAAAATTATATATTTGAAAAGCCATTTGAGTGTCTGCTGTAAATTTGTAGGTCAGCAGCACTTATTTACTAGGTAATTAAAAGTAGGCAGATGACCAGACTTGTAGGTGAGCAGAGGGGTCCCGGCAAGATCCAGGTGAACAGAGCTCAGAATGAGACATTAGTTAAGGTAAGTGTGGCAGTCCTAAGAAAAGAGGAGTGTTTTATAGACCTGTGAGAGTGGTGACTAAATAAGTATTAAACAACTAATGGTTTTATTCAGTAAGTGCTTCAGTGCCAGAGTGATAAAACTACATCCCCAGCTGAGAAAATCATGGCTTCTTTTGACAATTCCTTTTAGGGAAAAAAAAATCTAAACCCCTAAACTTTATTTTGTGGCTAAAAAGAACAGCACCGAGAACAGTGTTTGAAAGTTCTTATAATAAGATGTGTCAGAAATAACAAATCTCTGCTAGGATGCAGTGATACAGGATTTAAGACAAGTGCTATAGGACAAAATTCCCATGTTAAGGTTATAGGATCATTGTATATATCCAGATTCAGAATTAGATACAGTGGGATGTTTCTGGAATTAAAATGCTTTTGTGCAGGCATTCACGTTTCCCTGTGTGTTCAGTGTGAATTTTCCTCTGGATAGAAAGGTCTCTATTATTTGCACAGATAGCATCTGTTAACAAACAGCATTATCCTATAGTAGTTAAAACAATGGGGGCTAAAGCTAAACCAGTATTGCATTGTACTGGGCTCTAGAAACTCAGCGAGTGGTAGGGAGGATGAGGAGTTTCAGGGCAATGTTCCCAGGGTTTCTCCATGAAAGATATTTAATGAGTGGAAACATTAAGCTGGGAAATTCTGAATCTGCAGTTCAGAATTTTTACATTAAAAAGGGGTATAAACAATGATGTGTCACTATGGGATCTGCGCGAGGTCTCGTGTATCACTTGAGGTCTGTGGGCCTCACTTAGACTTTAGCAGAAGCAGCCTAGTTGAAACGCAGCTTGTTACAGCCTTAAATCAAAGTGTAAGTCACATTCAGCAGCTGTTTGTAACCTTTGTGAGATTTCAGGTTTTATCTAAAAGTGTATCATAAAATCACAGAAACTGATACTGATTGACATCCTTCTGATACTTATATGTACTATATCACTTTGTGATATGTGTCACATGATAAAACTAATTTTTGTCGTCAGGAGTTTATAAACTAGAATTTAGATATGGTGTAAGTAAATAGGCGATAAAAAGGTTGACAGAAATTGTGCATGCAGTACTTTACAGTTAATGCATAATTTAGGTACCTATATTGCTTTTCTTCATGCTGATTACTTCAAAAGCCTTTGGTTTTGTATGAAGTTTTAGCTAATCTCTGGCATATCCTGTCATCAATCTGACAGAGGTGTGAAGGAGGACAGCATGTTCTGTCATTCCAAGGACAGAATTTGTATCAAAAACACCGAGAAAACAAAATGCTCACTGTGTATTTATTCTGACTAGTGTGTACCAACTTAAATAGCTTTTCTGTGGATTCACTTCTCTGATGTTAACCTGTGCAATGTACTATCAAGATATTTGAATGGATAATCATGGTGATATTTTGTTCCATCTTCTTCAGGTTGAACTCCACAGAGTATGGGGAGCTCCGAGAAAAGCTCCGTGCTCCTATCAGCAATGCAGCTAATGTTGTGATCCATCAAAGCCTTAGTGATTTATTTCTAGAAACCTTTACATCTCTGGTGGAAATTAACCAGACATATCCTGTTCCAAGCACTCAGGTGAGACTTTCTATCCATGTAAAATTTATGTATACATAAGTATACTTTTCAATATAGGTGAGCATGTGATTGCTGTGTAATTGATAACTCTTTACTTAGGGCTGTCACTGGTGAATTTTTGTTGTGGGGTTAACCAAAGGGTTTTATTAAACACTGATTAAACGATGATTATAATTATGAAATTGTAATTAAACAGTAATCAAATGGTAAATAAATGGTAATTGAACAGCAGTCAAACACTCTACTACTTACTGCGCTTCTAATAATTAAGCTAGCTTGCATACAATATGCTCTAGATCTGATATAAAATGTCAGTTACCTCACTGTAGGTAACAGATGCCAGGTAAGGGATCTATCGACCTCAATGAGTAACCTAGAGAGGAGTCCTACCCAAGGGGAGATCACTGCTGTGCAGCCTGATGCCATACAGGAGAGCTCAGGGGGCTCAGAGGGGCTACAGATATTTATAGCGTAAAGTGATTGACTTGTAGTCAAACCCCTTTGGTGTATGTGCAGGCGTGCAGCTGTAACAGTTTCAGTTTCCTCTAGTTCCAGCTCAGGCTGGCACCATTAGCTCCTGATAAGACATGGCCTAGATTCCTTAATGTCCTGAGAAGGTCTGGCCTAGCACAATTTCTCAAGGTCTGCACAGCAGGGCTGACTCCATCAGGCCTCCTTGTTGCTGATGCCTGAACCAAAGTGCTGTTCACTTAGTCAGGGAGGGCGCATCCATCACACTCAACCCCATGACTACAGTCATTTGACTTTACTTCACAGAGTGGTGGTCAGGTCACCTCTTGCCTCTGTGATATAAATATGAGTCTCTAATAGAATCATATTGTCTGCTGGCGGATTAAGCAATAAACACAAAATTAATTAAGATTAATTATGATATAGTTCCATACAATCAGCAGCAAGCTATTCTGTATGTTTTACAATGAGATATACTGATCGGGTCAAAAAACAGACTTGAATGTATAAAAAGACAGTAATAGCAGCACAAACTACCAGAAGGACAAACATTATTACTGCAGGATGTAACATGGCATTCAGTACACCTGTTGCCATTGGAGACCATCCTGATAGCATTTCCCACCAGTGGTGTTCTCCATCCTTCTTCATGCTTCCTAATATACGCTGTATTTTTTCTCCATCGTGATATAGTTATTAATGTGGTTTTGCTTTGTTGTTGTACATTTTGTAAGTCTTTATGTTTCAGTAGCTTGTGAAACAGCATCAAGTTCATTCCAATGAGGGAAGATAAAAGGTCTTGATATAGCGTGTAGTTTTCCTTTAACAGTACATATGAGGTCACTCAGGCTGTGTAATTAAAGTCATATCCAGTAGTGTTTACAAAGTTACAAACACATACATTTGATTGATTGGACACATTATGGGTAAAATTTCTATCAACAGTTAAATCTTCACAAAGCGTTCTTATATGGATTAGCACACATGGACAGTTCTACCCTTTCCAGGGACTACAGTAGTTAAATAAGACTTATTTCTGTCCTGTACATTTAATAGTGTAGGGTCCAATCACAGAAATTTGTAGATACATAGCTCGGTCAATTGTGGGAGTAATAGAATAGAGACTAGGTTGATAGGTAGTAGGGACACTTGTTGGTATAGCGTGAGGTCTGGGAGTAGATGGTAGCGTGACCTTTAAGGATAGTCCACTTTCTATCTGTCCATGGGCACACTGCTTCTATAGCCGTGTCATTAAAGAGGAAACTAATTATACAACTGGGGCATGAGGTACAGCCTACTCTGCTTTTTGACTGAGTTTTATTTATCTTCCTGATGATCATGTAGGTGTTTGCCTTTGAATACTTTGTTACATTACATACAACAGCGATTCTGTCACCTGGTGTAACAGAAATAAGGTGACTTACTTGCTTTTACAATTGTGTGATTACCAGTGATTGTCATTATTAGGCCTTTTGTTGCTTCTCCCAATACTCCTGTACTTCCATCAATTTTAAGCATGTGTGATGCAGAATGTGCTACAGTTACCGTATTGATTAGCACACATAAAAGAAATGAGAGCCTCCACCCTGTGCACTGGGTTTATTGAGGTCTATACCAGATCTGGTCCATGTTGATGATGATTACTCCTGCGAGAAGGATGAATATTCCTCTGATGATTGGTCCAGTCTCCATGGGAGACATTCCTGTATCATTGCCAATATCATTCCTGGAAAGAGAAAATAATGCAGGTCTTGACAGGGTCACTTTGATCTGGTTACCCCTTTTAGTTAGTAGCCAGGATATATCCACCTAGAAACCTTTGCAGCCATCTTGGTCCCATTAAGTGAACCTTGAGACAGAATGCAGAAAAATGCTGACATTTGGAGGTCTTTTGCAATCCGACAGGCCTCAAAACACAAGGGGAAAAGTGCCATGGCTTTTATATCCAGCCTACAAAGGACTCATACAATCAATGACAGTCTGACATGGACAATAAATGGCACACCTATCAATATAATTGATCCAGGTAGTTCAGAAAAATACTTGGTACTGCCTACAGATCCATGGGTTAGAATGTCTAAGCCAGAACTACTAGAAAAACTGGACAACTGGTTGAGGTGTATTGGGCAGGCTCCGTTGAAGTAATTTCAGAAAGTGGACATTTTGAAGGGATATACTATCCCATGACTGATTTACTTAGCAGACCAAGGCAATGTGAAAGCCGTGTACCTGCAGACCCTTGATTTGGCAATTTGAGCAGCCATCAAGGATTCGTTACATCTACCTGCATGTACCTGTGATGCCATCCTGTATTCCAGAGCTCGGGATGGAGGGCTGGGTATTACCAGGCTCTCTGGATGGATTCCTAGTGTGCAGTGGCTGCACCAAATTGCTCAGTCATCAGATGATGCTATAAGGTTTGTTGTCTGGCAAGAAGGTATAGAGAAAGAGTTTGAAAAAACTATGGATTGTGGCAGGTGGCAATAAAAAGATAATTCTGTCTATTTGGGACCCCGTGGGCAGTGAGGAACCAGTCTCAGAGTGGGAGATACCTGCTCCAAAGGTCATCCTTCTGTGACTGGTGAAAGCAGGAGGTTTCAGTTGCACCAAGTTGCCATCCCAGGGCCATGGGATTACCAACTTTGAAAGGGTTAAAATTAGTAATAACTGGGTTGAATATTAGAGGGGCATTCCTCACAGAAAGCTCATCACTGCATTACAATTAAGAGCTAATGTCTACCCTACAAGAGAGTTTTGGCAAGGGGTAGGCAGGACACTCAAATGAAGAACACCTGGCATTGTCAAGCAGAGTGAGACTTGCTCACATACTGGATATTGCCCTGCAGTTCAAGATGCTAGAATAAAGAGACACAACCTACTATGTGAACTATTGGCAGAGAAAGCTAAAAAGAGAGAATGGATAATATTTCAGGAGCCACTTTTAAAAGATCATAAAAATTAATTATATAAACCTGACCTGATACATGTCAAGGGAGTTCAGGCTTTTGTGGTGAATTTAACTGTTAGATATGAGAGTAAACTGTCATCACTTGCTGTTGCAGCAGCAAAGTCAGGAAATACCAATGTCATAAGGAGCAAGTTCAGGAGGTGACAAATGCCAGTAATATAAAATCCATTGGATTTCCTGGATGGTTGCAGCCAGAGAATAGTAGGCAATGGGTCAATGTCTGGATGGAGATCAGTGACAAGTTGTGTCCCTCCGGGGTCCATATTGGGACCAGTACTGTTTAATATCTTCATCGGTCGCATACACAGTGGGATCGAGTGCACCCTCAACAAATTTGCAGATGACACAAAGCTGAGTGGAGTGGTTGACACACCTGAGGGATGGGATTCCACCCAGTGGGACCTGGAAAAACTCAAGAAGTGGGCTCAGGTGAACCTCATGAAATTCAGCAAGGCCAAGTGCAAGGCCCTGCACCTGGATCTGGGCAACCCCCAGAGTCAATATAGGCTGGGTGGTGAACGGTTTGAGAGCAGCTTTGCAGAGAAGGACGCGAGGGTACTGGTAAATGAAAGGTTGGACATGAGCCGGCAATGTGTGCTCGCAGCCCAACTGTGTCCTGGGCTGTATCAAGAGGAGTGTGGCCAGCAGGTTGAGAGAGGTGATTCTCTCTACTCCACTCTGGTAAGACACGCCCCCCGCTGCAGTGCTGTGTTCAGTTCTTAGGCCCTCAGCACAGGAAAAACAGACTTGTTGGAGTGGGTACAGAGGAGACCACAAAAATGATCAGAAGGATGGAACACCTCTCCTATGAGCAAAGGCCGAGAGGATTGGGATTGTTCAGCCTGGTGAAGAGAAGGCTCCCGGGAGACTGCGTACCAGTGTCCCCCAGAGCCTTATACTCCTGTGGGTCTGATGTGCCAGGCCATTGAATCCACACAGTGCAATAAACCTGGTTGTCCCCTTCCTCCACCTGGCTGGAGGCAAGGCCCCTCAAGTCCTGGTCGCAGTTATTCGTTACTCGCTTCTTGTAAATCACAGAATCGTAGAATCAGAATGGTGTGGGTTGGAAGGGACCTTTAAAGGTCATTTAGTCCAACCCCCCTGCAAAATATGAATCAGAAGTATCTTTATTAAGATAGGAAGTGAGATCAACCCTTCTACTCTGTCTGGGGAGCTACCCAGTGGAAACTGGAGCAGCAATTTTCCCGGAATAACCTTTTTTTATGACTTTTTCCTTGCAACTCATGTACCTGTGCCTCTAGAGTTGAGGTAGATTTTCCATCCCACTTCCTCATGTCCTCGCCATGGTCATTCGGGTAAAACTACAGGGTGGCCTGTGGTATGTACCCGCTATATTCTCTCCCTTGAGCATAGCACCACTTACTCTTATAGCTGAGATGCTTCTCTATACAGGTGGGGAGTAGGACCTATCCTTGTTTTGTTGCTGGAACTCCTGGAACAGTTTTTTGCACTCCTGGACAGTTTTTCACAGCCGAGAGTCAGGCCTGTATGGAGGAAGAGACATTTTCTTCATATTACCAGAGTTGGTGAGCCACTTCACCATTTGTGCCTCTCCATCTTTCTAGGCCCTTACTGCCAATGAGTTGGCATATGACAATAGTTCACTCCTTACAAATTTCCACCACATGAGTCATCTATACTTGACTTCATCTGGATCTTTGGATAACTGCTTGTTTTCCAGGTCATCATAAATAATCTCCAGCACGGCTAATTCCCTCAGATACTGGATACCTCTCTCCATGGTGGTCCACTTGCCTGGGTGACATATAATATCTTTCTTCATGCTTGACAGTGGTCACCTGCAGAGGCTGAGGACTTGTGCCCCTTGTCCAATCTCTTTGTCAATGCTCCCTTCCCTAGAAAGGGATCCCACCTGCTTGGCTTCCCTACCCTCTAATTCGAGGCTACTGACCCAGTTATCCCAGCATCAGAGCAGCCAGGTGACAATGTGCTCACCTGGTTGACAGCTGAAATATTTTTGCATATCTTGCAGCTCACTCAGGGATAGGGATCAGGTAGTTACTGCCTTGTTTATGCGTTCTTCCTTTTCCTCCTCCTCTTTTTCCAATGGCCCTGCTTCAGAACAGTCTGCCTCATCCACTTCTTCCTCCTTCCCCTTGTCAGTAGAAGTTTCTTCTTCCCTTACTAAATGAACTGACTTTCACACCTGATATTTTATTGTATATAAGGCTAACTGGTATCAGCATGGCTTGGTTCTCTGGTTCAGCTGCAGTGCCTGTTGTGGGAGTTAAAGTGGCCACAGTGCTGAGTACAAATACAAGATTAGTCTCAAAACCAGTAATTTTAGCATATCATAAACCAGGGTTTCACAGGACAACAAAATGATAACCTTAATCCAGCCCTCAGAGATGATAAACAGCACAAGAGGGAACACATATAGCAAGTAAGATGTTAGATAACACAACTCTGAGAACAAGCACAACTCTGAGAGCAAACAAATTAGCAGTGTGACCAGCAACTATTAAACTTATATAATGAATACTTATAACAAATTTGTTTTAACATAATCTGGCAAGATCTGTCATTATCTCAACCCTTCATGTTCCACGTTGGGCACTAAAAAGGACTGTTGTGATTTAACCTGGCAGGCAACTAAACACCACACAGCCACTTGCTCACTCCCCCCTCAGCAGGTTGAGGGAAAGAATTGGAAAAAAAGGTAAAACTTGTGGGTTGAGATAAAGCCAGTTTAATAGGACAGAAAAGGAAAAATAATAATACTGATAAAAGAATATACAAAACAAGTGATGCACAATGCAGTTGCTCACCACTGATGCCCAGCTACTCCCCAAATTTGAATTCATTTATTTCAAATTAATGATTCTTAATTGGGGCTTGCTTTAATTGTAAATAATACTATAAATCCCTACCTTCAGTAATATTTGTGGTGACCTGGTCATTATTATACTTGTGCGGCAATCAGAAGTGTGACTAGGGCACTGTTGAGAGTACCAGAGGTAACTACTTAAACTAGTTCTGGTGACCTTGCAGTGACTCTGTGTCAGATATTCCAGATAATGGATTGAGTATTTGATATTTTTGGCAGCATCATACAGCTTATATGGTGTCTTCACTGTATGGTTACATGAACTAGCAAAAATAAGACTGGATCAGATACGTTTGCACACAATGTGGTTGTGTGTTCTGACTGCAGTGCCAGCATACAATGAAGAGATGTTAGAAATAAAGAGAAGATGAGTTCCCCTCTTGAAGGGCTTTTAATTTGTGACACATTTAAGTGTCAGGTGAGCTACTGAATTTTGGTTTGACATTGAGTGATAAATAACATCAGAAGTTATGATACAGACATTAAAAATACAACATGGGATTTCTCCCTATTCTGAAGCTCCATGAATAAGTTGAAAAAGTTAAGTAACCCTTTTATGCTAGGGTTTTTCCTGCCTAAAAACTAAGATAAGCCCTAATTTCACAAGTTAAAGCTGATACAGCTTCTGAAAGAAGTAGTCCTCTTCCTGCACACTCCTCATCTCCACATTGACACAAGGCTTTGTCTGTGGTGAACCTGGTTGGGGGAAATGATCAAGGTGAAAAGGAACAAAGAAAGATACCTACACTTTTCACCTGGATCTGCTCCACAGTCAAGCTGCCAGTGTGAGTTGAACAGACACTTGAGCTGACAGGGGAAGAGGCACTGGAGGTGCGAACTAGATAGCACAAAGCAGAGCTGTATGAATAGACTCAGGTCTCCATGCCTGTTCAGCATGCTGTCTTTTGAACTTTGTGAAGTTCTTGGAGAGCTTTGGCTGGAAGATATGTGGGAAATGCTAATTATTGTTTATTAATTCTAAAACACTTCACAGCAAGATGATCTCCCTATATCCACCTGCAAGTTCATGTGGCATAATTAACTGTGGGGAAATACCAGTTATTCTGGTATTATCCAAGAATAAGCACATTTCTTGTCCTTCAAGTGAATACCCACTGTGTTCAGTACAGCACTGATTTCCTCTGTTATTTATGTCTTTTACTTATAAAGATGGAAGAAAGAAACAGCCTTTTGCTGCAATAAGTGATAAGAACTGTTTGCTTTGTTTATTTTACTTTATACTGATATGTTTTTTGAAAAACACTGTGAACGATAAAGACAGCTGCTTGCTTACCTTGCTCTGACTGTGGTGCTCTGGAAACAAGTGGACCTCGTCAGAGAGAGAAAGAGTATTTTCAGTCATTTTTGTTTAATGAGTCTCATGCAGCAGTTCTGGATTTTCTGTTTCAAGAGATACTTTGTTCTCATTCACTAGAGAGTATTCTAATAAATAATAAAACACAACTCTGGAGATTTAAACCATTTGGTATCTTCTGGTGGGGCAGTTCTGCCTTGCGGCTCTGCCCAACTGAGCTTCCTGCTATGCTTGTACACAGATAATTTTCTAAAAGCCTTTGAAGAGCAGTTACAGAAACCATTCTGTGCAGTTCATAATTTTCACATTTTTTTCCTCCTTTAGGAGCTGGAGCCGTGCATAGGGTGTATGCAGACTATTGCTAACATCAAGCTTATCAAGAACTGCCAGGAGCCAAATGAAGGGGAATGCCAGCAGTGCTACTGCCGTCCCATGTGGTGCCTCACCTGCATGGGCAAATGGTTTGCCAGCCGACAGGATCAGCAGCACCCAGAGACCTGGCTGTCAAGCCAAGTGCCTTGTCCAACTTGCCGAGCCAAATTTTGCATTTTAGATGTTTGCATAATACGATGAGTAATACTTGGGTATGTTTTAACTTTTAAAATTTGAGAGTATTTAATAGTGGGTTTGGTTAAAATGGCCTGTTAGGTTTGTTTCTGGGACTTCATGTTTTACAGGGGTGCAAACTCCAAAGCTTTCTCTTATAGTTTTGCAAACAGATGTAAATCTTTTCAGTTCCTCTCCACTTTTACCTGTATCTTTTGTTTTTTAGTTACCAGATGTCAGTTTCTGGAATTATTTTTTTTTTAACCTGTATTTTGCTTTCTTATGTCTTGGATGGAGTAAGGGTATCCCTCTGTATTTGCAGTACTAGTCTCTTTTCAAGTTTTAACATAGGTTAAATTATTTAAATTTTAAAATTTACCTTGGCTTTTGATTCTTTAGAAAAGGGCTAACTGAGAAAATTACTTTGATTAGACTTCATTGATACTTTTGTTACTTTAATCCATTTGTAAAGTTCATATTAATCTTTGCAAGTGTTCACCAAACAAGTATACCAGTTGGGTTCCTTGTGCTGGTCCTCTCCACTTACAAACGGGATCGGTTTCTGTAGGCAAAGGAATTTAATCCATGAAGATATACAACTCCCATAGAGACCTTTTATTCCATCAGTCTGCCCCTAGCTTATTTTTTGATGGATGTATTTATTTCAAACAACAGAAGGATTCAGAAACATACTCCACTTACCTACACTGATAATGCTATGCATCAAGTCTGTTGGTTTCCTGTAGCTACATTGGTTAGGGTTTCAACACTTTTCAGGTGATGGATTTTTTTTTATTTTTTTTTTTTTTTACACATTTGAAAGGAGTGCAGCAAACATTTGAACTGTCTACTCTGGAAGAATGCTCAGCTATTTCAGAGCCTGTAAGCTTTTTCTGAGGGTCAACCTTTCCCCTGAAATCGATGCCAGGATCACAGAGGTATGAGTGCTGTGCTGCATACCTGAAGAATGACCATCATTAACAAAAGTTTTTCAGGCTTGCAATTCAAAGGCTGATCATAAGCAGTAGTTGCTGTTTTAATATTCATAGGGTACTGATGCACACTTCTTGATCTGCTCTGCATCAGAACAAATTTTAAAAAATCAAAGCATTTTCCATACATTTAAGAGAGCTCTACTCCTGGACCTAAATGCAGAGCTTTCCATCACACCCTTCAGTGAATAATTATTTGGCGTACTCCTAGGTGGAGAGGCTCAAGCTGCTGGAGAACATGTGAGTTCTTACACTGACCTGTGCACTGGCAGGAGCTGACATGGAGGTATTTGCTTGCACAAGTTGTCTATCTTAGAGGGATGGTAACCTGAGGTAGATAGGTGGGTCAACTAGTGAGAGAATAGAGTATTTTAATGCTTTGGTCTAGGAGAATAAAAGCCCTAATGCCTTTCACCTGTATAATCTGAAGGATCTTATCAGTAAATCACTAGCATAGATGAGATGCCAGTGACTACATGAAAATGTCTTGATTACCATGACAGGCATCTGCTTTAAGCAGGAATAGGTGGCAGGATTTTAAAAAGGGTGCAAGTACTGGAAACACAACCATGAAAGATTTTATTAGTCTCAGCCTAGCTGCACGTTGTGTGGTAAATGTACCAAACTGCACTTGGAGCCAGCCACCCAGGAAATGGTTACAAATGTGGCTGCAAACTGTATTTTGGAGAGGGATAAGGAACTGAGAACAGATTTGACAGCATCATTTGAGAACTAACATACCTGTTACATTGTTGGCGCTGGGCTTTTTGTTTTGTTTTTTTAAATAATATGCACTTATAAAAGTCCAAACTGTTTGGGTTTAAGGACACTAATGCTTGAGCATATCTCAGTTGTTACATATGCAACACCTGCTATGCAATTATCTATACTACCTATTAATAATGGTGATTTTTCTATTTTTTATTATCTGTTGTTTTGGATTGCATAGAGTGAAAATTTGACACTGAGACTAGTAGTATGGATTTGTCTCTCTTTCCCAAAGAGATCTTAAGTGGCATGTCCCTCTTCATCCGAACAGGATTAAATTGAGTTCCTGAGTTTCTGACAGATTTGTTGACAAACAGGTCAGTGACTGAATTTAAAATATTTTCCAGTACTTCTGTGGGAAAGTTATTTGGAAGTTTGAAAAGATCTCTGCAGACTATTTTAACCTTTGGAAGATTCTTACAGGGCTGGGTGGTGTCATCTGACATGCACCTCCTCACCATACAGCAGCCTTTACGAATAAGTATTTTGTACCATTTACTTCTGGAAAGTTTACATAATGTGACACAGAAAAAAGAGATGTATGTGGTCCTTGAAATAGTTGCAGAAGAGAGGGTGGGATTTTGGAGTTGTGGTTTTGCCACAATTCCTACAGCTCTTTTCCTGTCTGGAATAAAAATATTTATTGTAAAGATGTGTGTAGTTAAAATCGTAAAGGCCTTGAGAAACACAGATAATAGATGCATGTAGTTGCAGGTGGTTTTATACAAGAAAAACAGGTCAGTTGCCAGTAATATCTCATGTAAGAAGAGCTTTAGTCTCCCAGTTGCTTGTACAGTGGAGTTGTTCTTTACAGAAATCTACTTTGAATTGATTGGAAGTTTTCATTTCAGTGGAACTTTGCTTTTATTCATCTTACGTCTTTTGCCAATATAACAGTACAACAAAGTACCAGTCATAAATGTGTAATACTCTTGCATCTTTAAATGGTAGTGCTCTATCCACAGAAGTGCCTCTTAGAAAACTTAGTAATAATTACCAAAATAAAATGATGATTTATGTTAATAATAGTGCCTGGCTTAAATTTCTTAAAACAAACATTTTTTTCCAAGTTTAAATTGTCAAAGTCATCTGGCATGCCTCCAAAGTTTGTAAGCTTCTTAAAGGCTGTGTTAAGAGAACCAACTTGTTAAAAATCTGTATGATATATTCTTGGAGACAGTAGAAGGATAAACCATGACATCTCCTTGCACAGTTATGTGATATCTTATTTCTCTTGAAGAAATCACTGAACATGAAAATAACAGAGTACAAAAATACGTATTTGTCATTGTGATAGCTTCAGGTCATTGTCCGAAGAACCACATGCACGTATAGGGCTGTTTCTAGAGAAGATCTCTCCCTGCAGTAAAACAAAATACATTGCCTCCCAGCCAATCTTGATACATTTCTTAAACATAACGATAGGGTTCAGAATCAGTCTTTTTACAGCACTTTTCTAAGAAAAAAAATGAACCAAGTGATGTGATGGGCTAAAATATTTACTTAAAGAATTTTCTTGAATTATTAGTGATTAAGTGTTGCTTTTTCAGCTGTGTGTATGCTTTTCCACATCACTGACTTGTGAGTAGGCAATGTTAGTAATCTGAAGTTCATGATATAAATGTATCATTACAATAAGACAATCTGTATGTGGGTGCACAGCGTCAGTATAAATATCCCATCTGTGTACATACATGTGTAGCCCAAATTTCCTTATGTGCTACAGCCAAACGTGTTTCTGAAAACATGAGCTGTGGCTATATTATTTATTTCCACAGTTGTGTTATTTCTGTAATTACAGCATTACAGAAAATATTGGCAAAGTATGTTATCTGTTGATGTTTTAGGTTAATATAGTTTTCCAACCCAAAAAAGATATTTTGTCGAAGCAGGATATATTTTGAATCCATTATATGAATGCAGTTGTTTAATATGAGGCTTGCCATAACTTGAAACCAAAATACCAGTTTATTATGTGATCTCTTCAATATATGTTTTTTTATTGTGTTGAAACTTGTTAGACTGCAGCTATGTACCATTCCAGTCAGGCTAAACCTCAGTAAGGCATAACTGACTAAAGTTCTGAGTCCTATTTCTTAGGAAATGTTGACTTTGAGATATTTAAGGAGTTGAGATATAAATATTCAAGCTCTTCCATGCATTACAAGACATTTTCTTCCAAAGATACACCACATGGTTTGTAACTTGTGGGTTTTTGGTTCGTTGGTTGTTTTTTTTTTTTTACCTAGATAGCTTACCTATTTTAAAATTGACAGTATTATTTGGATAAACTTTAAGGAAAAGGCTTAATGAATACATGTAGTTAATCTTAAAACTCTGAAGAGCTGAATAAAAATACAGTTGATTTTATGTAAGATTTATGGTTTTCATTTTGAAGTTATGTTTATCAGTTAAAACTTTATATGGGTGGAAGTCAGTCTGACTTACCTGTAGTGCAATGTTTTAGCTGAGAACATGTGAATAGGAAGGGGACTTTAATTCTCCTGAAGGTGCAGCTGGTAATTCCTTCTTTGATAAATTTTCCTAACATAACCTGAATGCAGAGGGTTGCATAAATGAAAGTGTGTAAAATCTCTGTATCTCAGAAAAAACAAACAAACAAACAAACCAAAACAAACAAACAAAAAACAACAACAAAAAAAAAGAAAATAACATATACTTTCCATAACTAGCAGTGGGGAAGGAGTGACACCGGATATCAGAAGATAAGCTGGGGCAATGACTAAAAATGTGTCTCTCTGGGGGAGCACTGGCATATGGCCATTATGCGTCCTGTATAAACCCAACTTTTTATCGTGGCACTGCTTAGGTATGTTAGCAAGTGCAGGCAGTGTTGTGCATTCCGTTCATGGTATGAAATGCGGGACACATTTCCCTAGAGCACCTTGTGGTGCCCACCAACTCCTTTACTGAGCAGATTTAGCTGACAGCACCTAGCAGCGGATTAACTCGGCCAAAACTGAATCCTTGGCTAACGAGTGAGGTAACAGACGAACGTCAGAGCGGGGTTTTTGCCGGATTTTTTGCCGGAACGGAGCGGGCCTGGGCGCCCAGCCGCCCCCTGCGCTGGGCGAGGGAGGCTGTGAGGGGAACGGTGTCCCGGGCGCAAGAGAAGCTGCGCCCTGCCGCCTCACAGGAGCGTGGGCAGCAGGACGCGACGCCTGCCTCTGCAAATCCCGATCGGCTTTTCAGCAAAAACATCGTATTTTCGCTGCCGGCCGTGCCTTGACCCCACCGCCCCGGCAGTGACACCACCACACACCGCCGCCCCGCCCCCAGCGCACTTCGCGCATGCGCGGTTCGGCAGGAACGCGGCGCCTGCGCGCTGCCTCCCGCCGCGTCGGGGGCGCAGCCGCGGAGTCTCCTCGGCCATGTTCCGCGGGCAGCCGGGGCCGGCCCGCCACGCCGGCGGCGGGGGCGCGGGCGGGCTGCGCAGGTGGGAGTGACCGCGGTAGGGCCGGGGCGTGGGGGGGCTTGCGCCCTCAGGCCGTGTGCGGGCGGGCGGTGTGGCGCTGCCCGTCCCGGGACGCCGGCTGTGGGGAGGTTGCGGCGTGGGCTCCGTCCGGCCTCCCTCGCCTTCGGCCCCGTCCCTCACGGTGCCTGCGAGGAGTGGCGGGGCCAGGAGGGCAGCTTGCCGCCCTCCGCCAAGCGGCTCTTCTTCCGGCGCCCCGGCTGAGGGGGTCTCTGTGCAGAGCTTGCTCCGGTGAAATGCTGACGCTGAAGTGGGCGGGAAGGTGCCGGAGGTAAAGAAATACTGGAGTATTTCTAAAAGGCATCGTTCTCGGTTAGCATTTTTCCCTAGAATTCCCAGTAGTCTTATAGTGTGCTTTTTTTTTTGTTTGTTTGTTTTTGTTTTTTCAAGTTTTTAAGTTAAATAATTGCTGTTGAGGGGGGTTAAAGAAAGTTTTTATCCATTCACTGCCTTTGCAAAAGCCGAATGTGTTGAAAGTGTCCTTTTGCCTAGTTCCGTGATTCAGAGTAAACTATTTGTGCTGTGTGTTGGTAACTTTGAGCCCTCCGGGATCAGGAAACTCCCAAAGCCAGTTAGGGTGGAGGAGGAAGGGAAAGAAAAAGCAAGTTGTTAATCCAGGATTAAAGTAACGAAAACCTGCCTACCTCTCACTTACCTTCAAAAATGCAGAGACCTTGCATGTACAGAACAGTATGTTTAGTGGTGTGTAGGGAGCCTGCAGTATAGGGTCATTCTCTCAGGCAGGCGGTGGTGAATCTCCAGGTTTGGTCCTTAGCCCAGAAGCCAGGTCAGGTGTTAGTAGACACTGTGACAGTGTTTTGTTTAGTAGTCTATCATTTAAGATGTCAAAGCTGCCAGAACTGAGGAGGAAAATGTAGATAGCTCTTAATCCTTAAGCAATCTCTGGCTGTCCTTCTAGCATGTTGCAAGCACCTCACTCTAGCTTCTTGCCCCGTGCTTACTTGTGAGGACTGTGCAGCAGCCTCTGGTAGAGAATTTCCTGTGTAGAAGTGTTTCCACATAAATGTTTGACCTACTTCTGTTTAGACATGCTGTTTTCTTGTGTTGAAGTGATGTTTCTGTATTTGCCTCTTCCACAAGTTCAGTACTGGATAGAATAGTATATAATATAAATGTCAAATAATGCATTGCTGACAGAGGACAGTGTATGAATGTTGGTACATGTCAGCAGTTCCACAAATACTGGTGACAGTCCTCAGTTGTTTTTTTGTTTTGTTTTTTTCCCTTTGTTTTTAAACAGAGAGAGGGTATACTTCTGTTCATCTAAATATTACCAGTTTATTTTATAATTCTGATGTCTTAATTGCATTAGTCAAAGACCTCAGCAAGTGCATTGTCTAACACCTTTGTTAAGTTAGTATTGCCTGAATAAATTGACGCAAATCACATATCTGCATGCCAAATCAGCATTTTGTAACTATAAATTATGGTACTCAGATTGTTCATACTTGTTTTGTATAGTCAATGTTCACTGACTTGATTTCTGATGAAAATTAATTTTCTAGGTCTGTGCAACATCCACACTGCTGGCATCAAGAACAGGAATGTAGAAGCTGGAAAGATTCAGATTCTTTGGTGTTTGATGAATATCAGTGTAGACATTTAGACCAGTGGCTGAAGAGGTGAGAAGTAAATGTGAAGTTTAAGTCTTCACTTTGCTGCACTGTTTTCTTTAGGAATCCAACCAAGCCTTGGACGTGATTAAATTAAATGTTTTCTAGTAATACAGTAGCACAGAGTTGGTAAGTTATCTACATTATGCAAGAGTAGACCATTCAGTTTGGCTAATTGAAATGCATGCCATAATATTAGCAAGTATTCTATATGAAAAAGAAGTGGTATGTACTGAGGCAGTACTTTAAGCCTTATTGATGAAGTCTTCAATATAAGCATAAGATTCCCACTGAAGCAACATGCTGTTACTTTTTATGCTTTGCTCACACATCTTTATGTGTAAGTGCGGGCAAACCATGATGCTTGTCTCTTCACTTAACAGTGCACTCAGTATATTCAGCTGTACTACAGTTCTTAGTAAATACTTTTTATTTTTTTTGTAGTCCAATACTGATGACAATTTGAGATGAGATCTAATTTCATAGGTAGGTAGTGGTAGGAGTATTTTGCTTTGCTTTTGGATATTCTAGACTAAAGACTTAAGGTAGAGGAAGTGGTTGAGATTGGTATCTTAATGTCTTGACAGAAGTATGAAAAGTGGTGAGAGCTTGGACACGTGCAGAAAACTGAGTAGAGTGTAAGTTAGAAAAGATGAAATATTTTACTGAGGGCACATAGAAACTTTTTTATGTAATTTATACATCTCTGAGTATTACATAGTATGAAGGCAATCGTAATTTGTGATGGCATGTTTAATAATGCTTTAGTTAATAAATGAGTCTTTTGAAGAGCTTAGGAAAGCCCTTGTATTCAGAAGTGTTTTCTATGTCTTTGATGCTATTATAAAAAATACAGACAGTGTGTTACGATTGTGAGTCGAATTGGATGTGCTAGCAGCATTTTGTGTTTTCCTTATGCTGAGTAGATATGTTGCTTCTTAGTGTAGAATATTTGTCATGTGGTAAAATTACATTGGCGGCATGGGTGGTAATTTCATCAGTTGATGTGAAACCATTTAGGGAAGTAAGACTACAAGCTAAATCTACTTCTGTATTGCTTATGTTAAATATTGAGGCATTAACATTGAAAGAAGTGGACAGACTGAAAGGGGAAGTTTTCAGTGCTTCAGAATATTACAGCATTGTACAGTTTTCGTTCCTTATATTTTTCAAGTTAATGAGGAACCTGGTGTTTCTAAACTCAGAAAGCATCAGTGATCCAACTGATTATTTAAATAAGAGTTTCCCAACTCCCTTTTTGGCTTTACACAGAAGAGTTTACATTCTCAATTATGTTGGGCTGTGATGGTGTCTGACAAAGCGTTAGTTCTGTTCATGCAATTGGGCGTTTTTCTATTTCTTAAGCATCTCCCTGCTCCTTTACAAAGTCCTTAGCTGCTGACAGAGAGCAGTGACTAGACTGATTTTGACCTCAAGTCACTTCATGAGTTGTGCCCTCAGATGGGATTGCAGTATTGAGAAGATCCTCAAGTAGTAGTGAGAATGGTTCTTACTGGCTGAGCTGGAAGTATTTTAAGAGGTGGTCAGGTATGTGTTCTGACAGGACATTTACTTCATGACCGTTTTCTTACCCTGAAAAGTAAAACTGATAATTCTGCATCACTGCTGAAGGTGACTTGAGCTGAAATGTTAGAATTTGTTTGACTTTTAATTTGTTTAGGAATGGGGGCATGCCCATGGTGTTACAGTTGTGGTGCTGTTTTTGTCCACTGTTGAAGTTTCTGTTCATGAAATGTATTATGAACAACAAATGTTCATATTGAGTCCTCATTATTTTTCAGCTCTACAATACCAGAACGTTCTAGGCTTCTTTCTAGTTGCCCTGACTGGGAAGATAGAATTGAAGAAGGCAAAACAATGAGGATGGCAAATAAAAAAATGAAGTAGGTATTGAACAATTATTAACTATTGTTGTGTTGGTTTTAGCAATAGCCATTGGACGATCTCGGACTATTTCACATGCATTAATGAAGATTTGAAGCACAACCAGGCTGTTTCATATCAAGCCTGAAGGAAGACTTAAGGGGAGAGTAGCACTGAAGTCTTATCTCGAAAGCTACTTGTATGATCATTTCAGATTCTCTTCTGCAACTTAAATTGCATATCCACTACAACTTTTGATAAGAGAAAATACTAGAATATTGAAAGGAAAAATGAAAACCAGCCATTAAGGCTTGGAGAGAGAAATGGCTATTAGATCATTCAAACTAGCCTCATTTGTATTATCCATCTTTGTTTATTGAATTTAAGCTTTTTCATATTTGTATTAGGGGTTTTTTACTCATATATGTAATAATCATGTAGCATTTTATTTGCTTGTTGTAGAACTAGCTAAGCTTCTAGTAAGGCAGCTCTAGCACCAGTACCCTCAGGTCTATGTTTACTTGTCACAAACCTGAACAATTGCACAAACTTGCAAAACCTACTCTTGTAGTGATTCATTTGGTTAGCACAACTTTCACTTCTGTAAACTAGTAAAGTACAAGTTGTGCTTGCTGTCTATCAGAGTAAGAATACATGCAGTTCTGTTTATATAACTTGTTGGAAAGCTACTAAGGTTGTTTTCAACTTAATCCAAATCTTTATTTTTAAGTTCTGTTTCAAGTGATTCTGCTAATCCAGCTGAAAGGGAAACAGATGAAGTGGTTCTGAGGAGAAGACAAAAACAGATCAATTTTGGAAAGAATACCCTTGCATATGACAGATACATTAAAGAAGTTCCAAAGTAAGTTGTACTATGTTGCATGCTTCCAAGTAAACTCTTACTTGTTCCTGATGTGTGTGTAGATTAACACACAGCTTTAGTTCTCTTAAAATTATATGAACAGTAGGTGAAGAAGACTTAAATTGATTTTTAGCAAAGAGAAGCCGAGTGTTTTCTGCATAAGAATGAATGTAGATAGGAAAAAAATCTAAATGTTGCTTTTGTGTATTGCTGTTGCTAGTAGCAACTTTAAATTCTGTATTAATCAGCTCCCTGTGATGCTTCTGGTGATTGTGTTCGTTGCTATGCCAGTGAGAAGATGATTGATACTAGGAAATGACAGCTTTGAATGAGGACTGAATAGAGGCTTGCATTTAAGTATTGGTAAGGGAAACCAGTCTTCAGTGATTTATCAGTAACAAATCAAAACTTGGGTTTCTTGCTTTCTCTGTCATTCCACTTTGGACCTTAGAGTCTGTGAATTGTGGCACTTAAATGAAGATTTCTTAGCCAGCTCCCTCTGATTACTGCAGAGCTGTCAAGATTCAGAAGCTAGTCTGTACTAAAGTGTGGATGTGCGTTTGTGTTCTTGTTTTTTTGTTTTGAGGGTTATTTTTTAGAGGTGTTTTTCTAAATACAGGTTGCCACTTACAGTTACTGGCTTTCTATGGATTTCAGCTGTAAGAGTCTGCTGTGAAAATTGCCAGCCAAGTGCAGTGGACACTGCAGGCTTGTGTCGAGCAACACTTGAAAGATTAAACTAGATAACTAAAAGTCAACAACAGATACTGTAAATGATCACAGATATCACAATATCATGGTCACATGTAAAAAGTAACACCTTTTTTTCTTCAAAGAGTCTTGGATTGCTGTGTGAATTGTAGTTCTGCTTCTCACTTTGTCACTTTGTCATCAGTGGTAGGACTGCAGCCAGTCTTAAGGTGATGCCTGGCACTTGCATAGCTGTGCTGTGATCAGCTAAATCATAGATGGAGAATAGGAAAGATTAAGAACAATGTTCAGAAAAAAAATGGGATAAACTTCAAAAAAAAAAAAAAGTGTTCTGGGTGGCATTTTAAGAGGACAGTTTCTAGTATCTTCCTTAGCAGGGATCTTTCTGTCTTACAAAAAGTATTATGGCCAAGTACATTCATCTGTGAAGCTGGTAGGGGGAACCCCTTGAGACCAAGGTACTTGGTATGATTTAAACATTACTGTAATATGCTTACCCCCAGGCATAAGGCTGACACCAGTATGGTAGGATTATTTTGTACTGAAGATGCAGTTTGAGTGAGCTCTCCAATAACCTGTGGTGGGCAGGATCTGGGTTTAGGATACCATCTAAGGAACAGCACATCCAGCCATGGGGTGATCCGAGACAACATTGCTATAGTGTCTGCCCAGTGTAGATTCAGTGGAAAGGCATATCATTTACATTTTACCCAGAGAGTGGGGGTACCTTGTTTTCTATACTCCTAAAAACAAATGCTGCTTAGAATTATAGCAATCCCTATTGTAATAATGCACGGACAGTGATGGAATAAAAGTTCACTGAAGATACGTGTGGGTTGACCCCTGCCAGCAGCCAGGTACCCACACAGCTACTTGCTCACTCCCTCTCCAGTGGCATGGGGAAAGAATAAGAGTGAAATAAAGTGATGGACTGAGGTAAGGTCAGTTAAATAGATGGAGGAAAGAAAAGGGGGAGTGGAGGGGGAAGACAAGTGACAGATGCAATCACTCACTGCTTCCCACAAGCAGACGGGTGCCCTGACAGTCTCTGAGCAGTGGCCACTTTGGAAGACACCTTCCCTTCTTCCTCTGTCCTGGTTTTTATTCCTGAGCATCTCATTGTATGATGTGGAATATCTCTTGGGGTAATTTGAGTCAGCAGTCCCAGCAGATTTCCCTTATCCAGTTCTTGTTCACCCTCAATTTAGTGGCTGTGGGTGGGGCATGGCAGTGCAGGACAAAGGCCTTGAGGCTGTGTAAACACTGCTTAGCAATAGCCAAAAGTTATAGTGTCCTATCAGCACTATTTAAGCCATAAATCCAAAACACAACAGTATAGAGACTGCTCTGAAGGAAATTAACTCCATTTCTGCCAGACTCAGTACAGTGCTAAATAGAAAGAAACTTCACCTGACTTGGGAAAACTGAGATAGAAGTAGCTGGAGGCTAGGATAGTATTGAATGGGTTTGATTTATGCTGCTTATGTTTCATATTTGTCCATGGTCAGTAGGGATCTGCTTTTGGCAGCTGTCAGGGTGCTGGACTAGATGAACCTCTGGTCTGACTCAGTATGTTATTGTTTATTGTTACTTGTGTAGTCTGGTTTTGACAATGGTTTAGAGTCTATGAATTTCAGTTAAGTGTTTAAAATAGGAAAAGTTTATTTATTAGGCCACTGATACCTGTGTCATCTGATGGACTGAGGAAATTTTTTTTAAGAACAAAAATCATGTTCTGAAGTAATAAATATTACTGTGTATTTACAGAAATCAGCGAATACCAGGAGTTCATCCTAGAACTCCCAACAAATTTAAGAAGTACAGCCGTAGATCCTGGGATCAGCAGATCAGGCTGTGGAAGATAGCACTGCATGCCTGGGATCCTCCTACTGAAGAAACTTGGGATCTGCAGCCAGTGTGTGTATGAGTGAATTAAGTCAGCACATGTCTCTTGTTTCACAGGAGGACTCTTACTACCTTTAGAGCATTCCTAACTGGGAGCAAGAGAGGAGATCAGGCTCAGAAATGGGAGTCTCCTTCAATGCCTTGTTTTCCTTTTGAATTCTATTAGTCTTCAAGATACTCCCATTATTTAGTCTAAATTCATCTCCAGTAAGGCACTTTGGGGAGGAAGGCATTTGGTCCATGTGTAGTAGTATGCTCCCTGCCCCTTTGTGTTTACATTGGAGACCACAAGGTAAAATAATTTTTCTAAAAAGGAATAGGCATAAGCAGAAATTTGGTGATTACTTTTCCTTGACCTTGATAACCTTTCCACCTTTCCTTATGTCAGTTGAACCACCTTTCTCCTGCAATAACAATAGGTCAGAGGATTTGAGAAATGTTAGAGGATTAGAGAGAGATTTCTGTGCTCTCTGCAGGAGAGTGGCAACTGTGTTCAAGACACAATTATACTTTTGTTTTTTCAGAACTTTGAATTTCTGTAACAAGGCTAGCTCCACTAACTGACGCGACCTAATACTTTATAATATTTAGACTAGTAAATTGGGAGGAAAAAAGTGAATGGAATTCTATTAGTTCTCTAACCTTATTGTGTAAATAATTTTAGCTGTGTTGTATGATTATATGAGAGTAACTGTTAATTATTTCTACAGCTTAACTGTCTTCTGCTTGGAGCAGTAACCCAGATGGGTAGTATTTTAAATATATATTTTTTTTCTCCTGTTTTTTAGTAGTACAGAGCCATCGGGCAGTTCCCAGGAACAGTTCTGCAAAGATGAGGATGTTTCTAGCTCCTTTGTATTTGATGAAAAACAGAAGAGAAATGAGTGTGAAGACTATTGCAGACAGGCTGACTACACACCAGAGAGGTATGAGAGAAAACTCCTGAAGTTACCTTACTGAAATAATTCAATACATGTTGATGCTGTCAGTTTTCTGTAGGAAATGTTTAATGAGGGAGGGCAGTTAATGCTCACCTTTGGAGTTTGGCACTTTTGCATGTGCGTGGAGCAGAAAATGGTTCTGATTCCCAGTTTCTTCTGCAGTTGTGTCTGGGTTCGCTTTCCAAAATACAGTGGAGTGGTTACCATAATTTGAGCCACTTTCTCTATGTTCCTCTGTTGTGACTGAAGAATCGTACCTCAAAAAAAGTCTTCCTGTGTAGAATGTGCCATTATTTTGCAGAACTCTGATAAGCATGTAAACACAGGTGAAATGTTGCGTGTGTAAAATCTGTGTCTTATTTTTATAGTCCCTGTTCTCCTGATTCTTCTCCAGTATGGAAACGCAGAAAAAGAAACAATTCCGACTCATCTGTGGTTTCAAAGAGCAAAAACCATTATGTGCATATGTATCACACGCTGGAAAGGTATAAAATAGTTCTCCGTATAGAGATTCATTGATACTATGAATTGACTTTCGGAATATGGCTGGTATTTTTCCCTCCATTTGTTAATAGCTTGAATTTTATCTAAATGTGTGTGCAATTTAATGAGGAATGGAAATCATGCCAGAATAATTGTGTTGTATGATAGCAAATATTTACAGTGGTCCGTTACAAAAGTGAAGAAACTTCAGTGTCAGAGTTTTTTTTGTGTGTGGATTTAGGCAACACTAATGTGTTGTTCTTGATTTCTCATGGAACCTAGCTTCTGCTTCAGAGATTGAAATTCTGAAATTGTTAGGCATCTGCTATCGTTACTTCTCATACTTCTTACATGTACTGCGTTCTGCTTTATAGCAGTTTATTGGAAGGACATGGGTCAGAATATGCTGAAAGGGGATGGGGAAGTGCAAGCACTGAAGATAGAATAATGAGGAAAAAAATTTAAATACCAAGGTGAGTTCATGCTGACAACTTATTTTACCTATTCTGTTTCAGTAGCTCATATGCAGCATCATTCTACAGAGTCCGCTGTTCAGTTCAAGCCAGTTAGTTTCTCTTTTTATTCCTTTATTATGTTAGTATTTTATCCCATCTACTTGTATTTAATGCAGCACCTTAATTAAAGATCTAATACTTCAGCATTGTAAATTGAAATATTTGCCTCTTCAGCCAGAATGCATGTGTTTTATCTTACCACCCAAATGAAAAGTGCCAGGTTTTTAAATTATTTCAGTAGCAGCTTTTCTGCCTCTTAATATTTTTGCGATGAAGTCACAACTTTGCATTTGTAGCAATAGATTTAAATGAAAATTTTCTCTTGTACTGTAGATTCCTGTGGAACATAAGTAGGATGGGTAGTAATCTTTAGTCAAACAGCTTCTATTAGCATATAGTCTTTTGTGTAATTTGATTGTCTTAGAACCTGCATTAAATGTAGATCAGAAACATTGTGGACTGGGGTATAAATGTCTGTTTAACAGTGATCTTGGAATATTTTGCATAGTAAAACTCACTACGAATAAGGCACACAGTTTTACACTACTTTTCAATTCTAGCAATATGAGGAAAAGACAGGTAGAGCTTTTAAACTGTGCTAATGGCATTTTTCTATTGACTTCATTGATTTTTAATTATTTGAGGATGAATAAGACTTTATGGATTCAGTTTTCTATAGTGCTAATTCCATATTTGAAAATATCTAGTCTCTCTTTGTATATAGAAGTATCAAAGGAAGAGGAGTTTCTCCTGTGACAAAACAATTTGAAGAATAGGAATGTAGTCTGAGATCAGCAGATCAAGTCTTGGAAAACTGGCACAGTTGCGTAATATCTGCACTGAAAGAAGAGGAGATTTACAGTCAGCATACGTGCAATCAACGTAAGGTGAAATGTGCAGGTAAGAGAAGCATGCCTCTGGACATCACAGTTAAGAGAGCCTTTCTGGTCTTCTAGTTAGTTGATATTTAGCTGCTTTGCAGTTGTCTTTGTTGTAAATAACGCTCTATTAAGGAGTGTATATTCAGTGGGTTTATAATCACTCGTTCTAATTGAAAAAAAAATCTTTGTGACATGTAAAATGTAGAAAGTAAATTAAAAAGCTTCTCTGTGGAACAACACATTGGCTTCCTGGGATGCAGAGATCAGTATTTAGAGAGACACTGCCTTTAGCCATGGTTTTTAGGTGTGATGAGCTCTAACTCTCAAAGGGCAGGAGCTTCATCTGTGGAAGGTGAATGTTGCTTGAAAACCAGATAGTGGTTTACATGGCAGAATTCCACACCACCTGCCTTTTTTCCTAAAAGAAAATACCTGTCTTGAACAGGAAAATTAAATGTGGCTGTTTTGGAGCCCAGTTAAATGTCCATAAGTTTGAATGTACTGGTTGTTTTTTAAAGGAAAAAAACCTTAGTAGGATGTTTAAGATATGGCAGGAATGTGTTAATTAGAATTGAGAGAAAAATGTTATTTTATGAATTAATAATTATGTTTAGGTGAAAATGATGTCATGGGAAATATAAGCTCAACTGCTTCATTTTCTCGTTGACAAGTTCTTTAGAAATATAGGGTATGTAGTACTGTTTTTACAGTATCTTATGTTCTCAAAGTGTTGATACTATCTGTAACATTTTCTTTAGTATGGACAATACGGCATTGTCTTTCATATTGTGCTTTAAGCTTACCATATGCAATGCTCTGTTCCACTTACTGCTACCGTAAAAGAAGTAAATGTTTTTCTGTTAACGAATAGATATATCATATTTATAAAACTGTTATATTTTTGTTTAGGTTTCTCCAGATCTTTAAGGATAGTTTTCCGCAAGCTCTGCCTCAAGTATAAAACTTCAGATTTCATTAAGCCTGTGCTACAATGATGATGGATGTTCCTTAAAGCTCTTGTGAGACTGTTTCTGCTGTACCTGCGTTGGCAAATTATATGTGCATCATATGGTAAAGGCTACTTCAGTTGATGGATTCTGCTGTTGCCATTTGGAGATCATGCTACTTATCATGCACTTGCAAGTGTACTAATGTTCTGCTGGTGAATTGACCCAATATCAAGTCAAACTGAAGAATGCCACCCCTTAAACCAAGGAGTTAAACCCTCTTGCCTCTGCTGGACCACAGTTGTGTATCCAACCTGAATAACTGCTTCTAAAGAATGTAGATAATTTCTACCTTTCTCCAATTGTTAAAAGAACACTGTTCTTAGCTTTTGGATTGGGTGATCATCCATCTGGTTTATTTACCATTCTCTGAGATAAGATATCTTAAGCCAGCATTAGCCTAAGCCTAGTGAGAGAAGAGAAAGGAAAGGTAGATGGTTTATCAAAGTCAGATCCCTCTCTTTAAGGGGATGAGTGACTGTTTGAACAGCAACACAGACCAAATACCTGGATCTTGCTTTTTTGTGTGTTGCAGCCTGACCCAAAGAGCCAGTCCGCTGCTAAGAGTACAAGAGGATGAGTTCTGTTCCTACAGAAATTGGAAGTGAGCAGCAGTATTTGCAGATTGGAGCTGCTCTTGGGCATGGGATGTCTAAGCTATGAGTTGTGACAGTGTTGAGATAGGTTCTCCTTTGGTTTACTCTTCTAGCGTTGTGCTCAGATCAAAGCGAGGGCTGTGGTTACAGTGGAGTTCAGATCAGATTCATGTGCCAGCTACAAGAATTTTTTTTGCAGGACTCCTGGCATTTTATGTAGCATGTACTGAGATACAAATATCTGTTAGAGCTGGGAATTGTCTCTTTGCAGGAGTTTGGCTTGGCTTTTCGCAAGGCCACTGCAGAACTGTGACAGTGTTAGGGATGACACACAGCAGCCTTGCTGTGGGGCTGGCAGAGTGCCTGAGGGCCAAAAGCCTGGTGTGCTACTGGTGTGCAAGTAAGTTGCTTTCCCAGAAACTATTCCCAGTCCCTTCCAGAACATTGTCTCTAGGCATGGGGTTCAGTCATGTCCCAGCACAAGGGTGGCTTAGTCACACACCACAGAGCACGGAGTGTGTGTATTCAAGGAACACATCAGTACAGCACTTTTTTAGGAAGTAATATTTAGAACCTTGTTGTTCCAGTGTGCATGCTTTCATGTAATTTATGATGATTGTAAATAAGGGAATGCGTTACACTTCTGGCATTTTGTCTTTATGCAGAAGAATTAAAGACTTTATCTTCAAAAATCCCTGTTAGTCTGCTTTTGCTGTTATGTTGTCAGAGTATCATTATAAAATGAATATGTGTATTTAGTAGTCCTTTGCCTGTTTTTAGGGTGTTTTGTGTATTTTAGGTGTTGTTTTAGCCCTTGCTAAAAGGAGGAAGGAGGACTCTTCACAGATTAAATCAAACTCTTGAACAGAGTTTAGAACCTGGGTTGTGTCTAACCCCTCAGTTTGTATTTTGACATCTTGTCACAAACCTGTATTTAGTGCATTGTGACCTAGTGGAAGCTGAAGCCCCAGCACCCTTTCTGCCAGGAGAAAGGTGTCCTGGACAGGATGGAACTGTTAGGTGTAGGTTGTCATAAAATGCTCAAGCTCAGCTGTCAGTGCCCTTAAGCTTTTGTCTATGATGGGCAGGGCCTGCAGTGGATTTCTGGACACAGATCCGTCGGATTTGTAATTCAGCAGTCCTTAAAAGATATTTTATTTCTCAGTTGAAAATACTAAGACTATAAATAGAATAACCAATCTGCCCATGGCAGTTAAATTTGGGGCAGATATATTCCCTAATCCAGGTTCTGCACACTTGGTCAAGGTATGGTAGCACAAGGCAAGGAGTGAAACTGAGCAGATGAGGTTTGAGGTCTGCTAAAGTCATTTCATGTGGTGCTGCCACTGGATGTAGAACTATTGTAATGTCTTCTAATTAGTAACATCTCATCAGTCTAAACAGAGCAGTTAAAATTGGAATACAGTCAGTCTGTTCACTTTCTTATCTATCCAATGCTATTTGACATAAGAGTTTACAACTGAGGTAAGCAAAGCTGAAGTCTGGCACACCACTGTAAGTTTGTATTTGGTAGCCTTCCATTAATTTTACCTATTGTAATTACATACACTTTGCCTAAATCTTTGCTCAGTTCATAATTAAGCCAAAATAAACTCTGAACCCAACCAGTCAGGTTTAAATTTCTTCCAAGAAGTGACATATATCTTCCTTCTGTTTGCATGCTTCCACTGGGAGAATCTCCTTACAGGTGGTACATTATCTGTGCTTGTAGAAACAGTCCTTCACGAGCAGTTCTGGAATGCCATTGGTTAGGTGTACTTTGTTTTGGTTTTAAAACTGCTCCTTTGAGGCCTCAGTGGGTGAGGATATCTCCTTCTCCCCTAAAAGTCCCACTGTGGCGTGAAAGTGCTTTTCTGAAGGATTTTCTTTGCTGACAAGGACTGGAAGATGCAAGGAGCTGTAATCCCTAAGCTGTGTTACAATGGATAGTTCTGCTGGATAAACTGCATTTAACTTTTACATACTGTTATGCTAAATGTACTGTGTGGCTTCTAGGCTGGAGCCATCCTCTGTCTGGCTTGCTTGGATGCATTCTGGTAAACAGGCTGTTCAAGTCACCTTATCTCGCAGCAAGGCTGGAGGAAATGGAGTTTGTACATGTTTTGAACCTATGCTTGTACCTCAAGCATGTCCTTGGTTCGGGAACACAGTTCTGTTTTCCACAGCAGTGTGTGGGAAAGGAGAGGTGCTAGCATAGCAAACTTTCCTGCAGGAAAGTGGATGTTTGTGCAGATGCCACACAGAAGATGCATGAGTTTGTACAGTTACTGTACAGCCAGGCAAAGGAACTTCCAAGGTAAATCCCTTACACTGTGCTATTTTCAGATCTTACTGTTTCATTGAGCATAGAGCCAGTCTGACTGTTATTACCCACAGGCAGGCATTTCGGAGACATCCTACAACAGACATCTCTGAGCAGAAAAGTACAGCACCTGTGTACAACCTTTGAGGAAAAAACAATTAGTTGATGGAAAGTGAACACAGTTCTCTCCTAGCTCTTCTCAAAATACTGATTTCAGCTGGGAGCACTAGGTATGTAGAAGTTCCACCTAAAATACATTATTAAAAAGCTAAAACATGATTTCTAAATATATACTTAGCAAGAGGGAGACTTGGAGATACATATAATGAGAATGCAGATGTAATTTGTAGAAATGAAACATTTTAATTCATAGAGGACCCCATGCCAAAGCAGGTGCTTTTGCCCAAAGGAGGCTGGGACTCTGTGGGAAGAAGCAGCTCCTGCTGTTGTAGTTCAGCGCTGGGAGAACTGCAACACACAGGCGTGATGCACCCTGGAGCAGCCTGGGGAGAGCTGCATCCTGTGGGAGGGAGTCAACTTGGAGCGAGTTTGTGAAGGACTGTCTCCTGTGAGAGGGGAACCACGCTGGAGCAGGGGAACAATGCCAGGAGCTCCCCCCACCCTGAGGAGGAAGAAGTGGCAGCACTGACTGCACCCCTCATTCCCTGCCCCTGCGCTGGGGAGGAGGTAGAGATACCGGGAGCAGAGCTGAGCTCGGGAAGAAAGGAGGGGTGGGGGGAAGGTGTTCTCAAGATGTGGCAGTGCTTCTCACTGTCCTACTCTGTGAAGTGGTGGTATTGGTATCTGTATTAAATTTATGTTGGGTTTTGGTTTTTTTCTTCCCCTAATGGGTCTGTCTTTTGCTGGTGACCGTAACGGGTGAGTCATCCCTCCCTGTCCTTTTCTTGATCTCTGAGCCTTTTGCTTCATTTTCTCCTTCCTGGCGCTGGGGGGAAGGGAGGATCAAGTGGTGCTCAGTTGCCCTCAGCTCAAACCATGCCACCCTATCCCACATTGAATACCAAAGCTGCAGAAATCTGAAGGTTATATTACATTCAGAATATAATATAATGCCTTTTAAAAATATGAATGCTTGCTGCTCGTGGAGATAAAATCACTTGACCAAGAGGTAACTTTACCACCTTTGCCATTGTTACTGTGATAGCTACATCCAATGTCTCGAGAAGAAGCACCAAGGCACCCTGCCTTCCCGCCAGCAGGCGGGACCCACGGCACGGAGGGTTCCCTGTCCTCTCTCCGCCTGGCTGAACGTGGTGACTTCAGGGACAGGGAGCAACGGTGACATGGTCCTGCCTGGCGTGGCAGACACGTCTCCTCTGTGACCGCCCCACCTCCCCAGGTGCCCGTGTGTAATAGGTACGAGGCTTTGCAAGTGGAACCCAACAATAACAAAGACAAGGGTTAGTCTAGCTTGGAAGTGTTGCTGAGGTTAAATCAACCTATGCCCTGCGTCAAAACCGCTTCCATAAAGAAAAAAAAATATAGGTCATTGTGATAGGAGACTCTCTCCTGAGGTGAGCAGAAGGCCCAGTATGCCACCCAGACCCAAATCTTAGGGAAGTCTGCTGCCTCCCTGGGGCCTGGGTTAGGGATGTGAAGAGAAAGCTTCCTACCCTGGTACGGCCCTCAGGTTACTATCTGTTACTGATTTTTCACATAGGTAGCGAAGAAGTTGCAGCAAGGAGTCCAAGGGCAATCAAGAGAGACTTCTGTTCTGTGAGGTCTGTGCTGGTCTCTTTTCCCAAGTAACAAGCAACAGGACATGAGGAAACAGCCTCAAGTTGCACCAGAGGAGGTTGAGATTGGGGATTAGGAAAAACTTCACTGAAAGGGTTGTCAAACATTGGAACAGACTGCTGGGGAAGTAGTTGAGTCACCATCCCTGGAGGTACTTAGAAGTCCTGTAGATGTGGCACTTGGGGACACGGTTTAGTGGTGGACTTGGCAGTGTTAGGTTAATGGTTGGACTCAATGATCTTAAAGGTCTTTTCCAACCTAAAGGATTCTGTGATTCTAAGGCCAGAAGGAGAAAGTGCTGCCCCGTCTGTGTGCATCTCTCTGTGAAGTTTCCCTGCAGCCTTCAGTCCACAAGGGCTGCAAAGGTATTTTTATTTAAAGCTGTGCTTGTGTTCTGCTGTAGGACTTCTCCAGGTTACTAACTGTAATGTACTAATGCAAATTCTAAATTGTAAAATGTCAGTATATACCAGGTCTTATGGATGAATAGGACCTCCCTGCGTCTTTGGAAGCACCATGCACGTGCAATTAAAACCACCTGAAAACTCCACTTCTAAAGCGTAGCAACCTCATGGCATTATCCAACCTTATTGAAGATTGATATGAAGTATAACTTAATGCATGTCATTTTTATGAAACATAAATTTAAGCCGTAGCAGTCAGCTGTAGGGTTTGAACTGGCCGCTGATGGACCACCTGCTCCTCAGGCATCGAAGAGCCGCGCCGGAGCCTGCAGTCCGTCATCTTTAACTCCCGGGAGACGTGCGTTTTTCCCGTTCCTCGGGGCTGTTTCTCGCCGTTTAACGCGGGCAGCGCTCCGCGCCCCGGCCCTCCCCGCTCCTCCGGCGCGCGCCAAAACCGCGCGCTGCCGCGCTTGATTCTCCCGCCAACACGCCCCGGGGCGGGGCCGGTTAGGAGCGGGCTAAACCATTATACCAGCCGCGGGGGGTGGGGTGCGTGTGGTAAGCGTTCTCGGGGCTGCGTGTACCGGAGGAGCCGCGGTCGGGAGCGTGTTGGCTTTTTTCCCAGCGCCGGGCTCGGCTCGGCGGGGTGGGATGCGGGTTAGCGGCTGTGCTTTTTCCGCTTCTCCCGCTCTCATCCTCTTCCCCCCCCCCCCCCCCCCCCCCCGCGTATCTGTGGCGGTGGGGGGGGCCGGCCGAGGCGCCCCGCGGGGAGGTGGAGCGGGCGGTGTCAGTCAGCGGCGGCGGGAGATGCGAAGGGGCTGAGGGGAAGACAGGGCGCTCTCCCCCCCCCCCCCCCCCCCCTCGCGCCATGTCCTTCCGCCAGAGGAGCCCGCACGGCGGCACGAGGAGCAGGTAAGGCCGGCGGGGATAGCAGCGAGATGCCGGAACTCACCGTTCCCCTTCTCCTCCCCGCTCTCGGGGCGGCGGCGGGCCGCCCTCGCTCCCCGCCCCTCAGGCGGCTGTGTGGTGGGGGGGGGAGAGCCGCGGCCCACGCGCGTGCGGTCCCCGCCCGCCGTGGGGCCGTTGCGCGGCCGCCGGCCGGGACCCGCCATGTTGGGCCGCGGGGCAGCCAGCCGCCCCCCGCTGAGGTGCGGGTCCCCCGGGGATAGCGAGGCGCGGCTGGGCTGCCGTGGGGGGAAGCGGGGTGTCGGTGCCCGGGGCTCACGTGCTCCCCCTTGTCTGTGGGGCCGTTAACAGCGGTGGGTGGGGGTCCCCGTAGGGGGAGAGCCGCCCGCTGAGGGACTCTCGAAGCCCACGCCGGCTTGTGTCGCTCGGCTTGATTAGTTGGAAGGGAATTAGTAAAGAAGTCACGCAGCCTGCACGCCGTGGCGTTTCGAAGAGTATTCGAAAGGTTTCTGAATAAAATAAAACCACCTGGCACGCTCACGCTGTTTTTGGCTTGTCTGCCGCCAGCCCGCGGCCTCCGCCGCGCTGGTCCCAAGGAAGGAAACGTGGCGCAGATGGGAAGCGGAGAAAGCAGACTGAATCCGATTCATCCCTTTTTGATGGAAACAAGTACAGGCCTTCTGACATCAGGCTGGACAGGTAGGCAGCGCTTGCAATAGAAACAACTCTCTGCTCTTTTGTTCATCAGGTGCCGTTGAACTGACTATTGTGCTTGGCTTTTCAAGCCCTTCCCATTTATAAATCACTCATCGACCGTAAATAGCTGGTATTAAAGGAGGGAAAAGAATCTAGTGCAGCGTTCTTATTTTGGAGTCGCTTCTTAAGAATAAACGTTCTTCATTCTTACGTTTTGAATTCTACTCTTCATGATTTTCTATCCTGTTTCATGCTTTTTTACTGCTATTTATCATGAAGCAATAACTGCACAAGCCGGTTGTATTTGTGGATATAAGCTGTGCATACTGTTGTGGTAAAATTAAACAGGATGGCAAATTAAAAATTCAGGTGTTAAAAGTCATCTGCATATTTCTGAAGGCAGTGTAGACCATCTTGCGAAGTTGTGTTTAAGTATGTCAGCACACATGTGGCAGGGTCTGCTTCTGAGGTCACTGACTCTGTTCATCCTGCTGCTCGCTGCCTTCCTTACCATTTCCCAGTACAGGTAATCTTCAGTTAGTGAAAGTATCTTATTTTACATCAGTGGCTACATCCGAGGTATTCATGCCACGGTCCATTTAGTGCATTTTATCAGAGGAAGAGTTGTGGCCCGCAGCCCAGTTAATTGACTCTAGGTTTATAATCTAAAATGAAGTGAGTTGTGCCCTGTAAATTACCCGTTTTTCTCTGCTGTTAATAAGCAGGGAAGAGATTGGTCAATGGCTCAATTTATGATATCCAGAGTAAATTACATTAACTTCTAGAAGTGTGTTTGGAGTACCAGGATGAAACTTTATAGATTTCTTCATCATTTGCAACCTAAATAATCAATGCTTTTGTGTGTCTTCCAGCCTTGAACAGGCATACTTTGTGGTTTAGTTTGGATTCAACTCTGATTGAAGTTGTTTTCTTCCTGCACTAAAGCTACTTTTTGTTTATGCCAATCCAACATTGTCAAAATACAATTTTAAAATGGGAGGAGGACTGGGATGGCGGCTGGGCCATACAACAGATTCAGTTGGTCAGGGGAGAGCTTACTGCCTTTTCTGCTCCTCTGGCAGAGTTTGAGCACCTTTTGCAGTCCTAGCACAGCACCAAAGCTTCTCAGCAAGTGTGAAATGGGACGTGGGGATGAGAGTTTTGAGAAAGATGGCTAAGCTCAGTGTGTCTGGCACCAGAGCAAATTAATCAAGAGAAAAATCTGTAGATCCTCCCCTGTTCTCCCTAATTCTCTGTGTACACAGCACAGTTACAGAATCAAACAAGTATAAAAAGGTATGACACAGTGCTGAGGAAAAAGCTCAGATAGTGAGACTAACCGAGTACTTCTGGTATTCCGCTGTTCTCAACCATGGGAGAGCAATAATTGAACATGGCTTGTATTTTCTGCAAAGTTAGAAATCAATATAAGCAAATTCTTGTGAGGATAAGCGGGTATTTGCAGAGGGACCTGTACTATTTGCTATGGATTTTTAATTTTTCTGAGTTGGTAACTGGGTTTCATCTGAAAAGAACATTTAGTTTGAATTTAACAAAAACTTCAAAGTAGTGCAAGCCAATTTCTGAGCTGGGAGCAGGGAGGGAGTTGGAACTGGTTTTAGTGCAGATGGATCTAATTCCCTGACTTCAGGGGACTTTTTAGCACAGAATCCTGCCATGTTGCCAGAGCATTTCCAGATCTGCTGAAAAAGCTCTGGTCTGTAGCATATGGTTTTGAGTTTGTACTTTAGGAAGATTGGTCATCAGGAGGACAGAAACTGGAAAATGCAGTTCAGATTTAATATTAAAAAAAATTTAATAATCTGAATGTAGACAACTGTTGTTGTCTGGGAAGGGATATAAGCTTATTCATCTGTAACAGTCTGAATCTACTCATGATAATGGGCTACAATCAAGTTGTCAAATACCAGTTTGCAAAGTCAGAGCAAATCTCAGTTTACTAGCTGAAAATTGACTGCTGCTTTTTTGTGCCTTTGCCTTCTCTACTTAGGTACATTTTCATGTGGAGAAATTCACACAAATTTCACTATGTGCTATTATGTAATTTTAGTTAATTAGCTATACAATTTAATTTGGTGTTCTAACTTTTGTCTCTTATATAGCTAACAACTCTGCAATCATGAAATAATAAATATTTGTTAACTCATTTAGTGGAGTGAAAGTGAGTGAGTAGATGAGTAAAGTTGGTATTTCACATAACATTTTATGAAGGACATCAAGTTACTGAAAGTATAGACTAGGTTATGTGCTACAGTGGTATGTTTCTATAGATACCTACATAAACTTTTTAAAGAAAAAACAAACCTGACAACATAAACCCCAAACCACACAACCTCAAGGTGGAGCTCTCAACTGATGCTTAATTTTACAATGACGACATCTTAATAGAAAAATACAGGATGTTCACAGCCATTGTCAGTACTATAAATAAATACATTAAATAGTTATCAAGGTGTGAGTGGGGGAGATGCTGGGGGTGAGGTGGGAAATACAAGAAAATAAAATTTTAATGCAGAGGCTTTTTTTCTTTCTAGTTTTACCACACCAGAAGGCCCAGGACCCCTTTCCCGATGTTCAGATTGGGGAACTGCAGTGGAAGAAGATGAAATGAGGACCAGCGTTAACAAAGAAATTGCAAGGTACCCATGGGCATTTAAGATGAAGTAGGGAAAGGAGGAGAAGTAGTAGTTGTCTTCTAGAATCTGTATTGATTTATAAAAAGATATTTAGGGAAAAGACATAGGAAAAGAAAGTCCTCAGATTTTTTTTAGGGGAAAACTGAAACATCCATTCCATAGTGGAAAAATGTTTACAGTGTCTGGGTTGACTTCTTCAAGACTGCTGCTTAGCTGAGAAGTCAAATTAACTGTGAGCTGTGATAGTGCAGTTTCACATATTCTCTTTGTGTATATATGTTCTTAATACTGATTTGAACTCTTACAGATACAGAAGAAAACTCTTGATAAATGAATTTTCACGAGAAAGGAGGTCCTCCTCTGGCAGGTAGGTTAAATTTCTAGCTTAACTGGGCAAAATCCTGACAATAGGTCTAAATTTTCACATGTCTCATGTTGCTTCTTAAAATTCTCAGTTGGAAATAAATTATCTTAAGTCTGCACGAATATTGTAGTTCAGTAACATCCCAATCATTAACTTGGAAAGTTTTAACATGTTTCTTCATATTCTTCTACACATGGGTTTGTTTGAGTGTTGCTTATTTTTTAGTAATCCCAAATCTACAATGTTTTTTCTTTAGTTCTGATTCAAAGGAGTCCACTGTGACAGTAGAACTTGAGACAGATGAAGTGGTTTTGATGAGAAGACAAAAACAGATAAACTACGGAAAAAACACAATTGCATATGATAGATACATTAAAGAAGTTCCTAGGTAAGCTGCTTGAGTTTCTGGAAAACTGAGTGTTTTATTATAAGTCATACCTGTTCTTTATGAGCATAATAACGTACTAAACTTGGTATCTGAGACATTCAGATAGAAGACATCTACAAATTAAACTTTCTAAGACTTTTTTTAACTGCTAAGTCACTAACAAATGAGATGTGGATTTTCTGTACTAGTCAGTACATGAGGAATATTCCTTCAAACTTTCTCATGCTGCAGAAATGGAAGTGAAAGTTCTTTTGGTTGTGCTTATCAACTAGAGGAAATGAAACTGCTTTTTGCAGTCAGTTTTCTCATTAGTAAATTAGAATGGGCTACAGTTGTTCTTAAGTTTGGAATGAGGTTTTCAGACCTATGATTGATAATCCTTTTTGATTTTTTCATTTGACTTGGAAAAACTAAAAAGTTCATACAAAGCTGACAGCTTTTCACTTGAATGTGGGAATTGTGTAACAGCCTTTTCCCATAATGTAATAACTTAGAATTTGCTGCATTGTAATGAATCTGCATGGCAGGCAATCAGTTGTAACATTTAAAGCTACATGTTATGTATGTGTGAAAAACACTAATGAATTTTTAATTTCTAATATCTGAATAGATGCCATCGTATACCAGGAGTTCATCCCAGAACTCCGAACAAATTTAAGAAATACAGCCGTAGGTCATGGGATCAGCAAATTAAACTATGGAAAGTTGCACTGCATTCCTGGGATCCACCTACTGAAGAAGGATGTGATCTGCAAGAAATGTATGTATACAGTATGCAGGATACCATTATAGAAGTTAATATACAAAATCTCATGTTTTTTTTTAAAAAAAACACCACCAAAAAAAACCCAAAACCAAACAGCATAGCCCTTTTGTCTCAACAAGTCAGTGACTGCTGAGTGTTTTCATTAGTTACTTGTCCACATTTGGTGCTCTTCAGTTCCTTCTTGGTCAAAATATCTAACACCTTTCTAATAGTTGGTGGGACTAGGCTTACTCAGTGTCCTTGCAAGGGCATACATATATATCCCTCACTTCTTTAATGTTTGTCCACTGGGTGAAATTGGTGCTCATTCTGCAGTGCTCTATAAAAGAAAATATCACACCATCGAGGTAAGCTCATTCTTTCAGAGCCATTTGCAGATTGATTTGTCAGCGGTAGAAGCAGAGGAGAGGTCTTACTAATTGACAGATTTCATGAATATTGGGCTTGGACCGATACAGTGTACAAGAACCTGCCTCATAGCCTCACTTGCTAGTTCAAGAACAGCAGCATCAATTCTTGCTTCTTGAGTAGAGAGGAAGGAAAGTACTTGTAAAATCATCTCAAGGTACCATTAAGTTAAAAGCATGATTATAAGTGTTCACACTCCAAGCTACTGTGTGTTCTGCTCTAGAAGATGTAGAACAATGCAACTAGTTATTTTCCTCTATAGAAAGCAATAAAGCTGATCGGGAAACATCCAAAATAAAACTGGGACTACAGAATGTAGGGAACAGAGATAGAACTAATTCCTCAGAAACAGTTTTGTGGTAATAAACTACTGTTTTTCCCTAACAGTGGTGTTGATTTTAAAACCAGTATGGAGCAATGGGATCTAAAAGCAAAGGCTTGCTTTTAGCTTCCTTTTACTTGTAATCAGCGTGAGGGGGGTTGATATTTCGGCCTGAAGCCTACTGTATATCTTGGGGTTGAAACACTAATCTATCTTCACATGCTGAGGTCTAGTTCTGCATATGGTGGATATTAAATCTTATGTTGCAAAACAAATGGATGAAAACCTTATCTGGAAAAGAAATTTTCCTTGCTTTTTCTTAACACTTCTCATCATTTGTATTGGAGCATTTTTTGAGTGTTGGGTATTTGTCTTTGACAAGTTGCAGTATTCAGTCTCAAGACTTCAATTTAGTCCTTGGCCATTTTGGCTGTATCAAGTTGACCTGCTATTCTGTTTGGCCTCTGCAGTTTGCCACCACTGTCCCTATAGTTTCTGTAGGTCTCTGTTCTTGTTTGGCCATCACTTTTAAAACTGCATCTATAAAGTGCAACTTACTATTAAAAAACTGAATTTGTTTTAAGCTGTATTCGATTATTTTACAGTAGTCCTGTTGACCTTGGTGAGATGGAGGCAGAATCTGTTGGAAGCAATTCTACTGAATCTCAAGCAAGCTGTCACGATAATGATGTGAGCATATCTGTCATGCACAAATATTTGTTAATATTTATGGAATTTGTTAATTTATGTAATAACTACTTAGAATTATATCCAGAGTTGCCTGATCACATGAGAAACTCCATAATTTGCTGTGTTTAGGGACTGTTTATCGAGCTGACCGATCTTTACATTCATTCATTTTCCCAGCTATAGCCAATATCTGTCTGTAGGCTGAGTTTAGAGAGTTAGAACTTAAGCGACCATCTCAAGTGACAGATCTTTCATTTTTCATAGCCTGCAAATGAAAATTTATGTTAAAACATGTCAATTATGAACTGTGATATACAGTGGAAATACTACTTCAGATTGCAATATCTAACGTTAAAATAGGATGTAATTTTTTTGGCACAGTCAGACTTTTTGAAGTAGACTCTTTTTATAGCCAGAAAGCATTTAGTATGGCTGAGCAGTAATCTTCAGTAAAGATCTAGAGATGTTTTTCTTACTGGGTTTGTTTCTCTGATGAATATTGAATCTGTATAATGTTTTAATGTATGCACATATAGATCTTTAAAACATTTGCAAGAAATCTTAGAATGTGGTTGAATGGGCAGAAGCCTTCATTTAAATCTCTTTAATCTTAAGACTAGCCTTGGGTTTTCGTATGGTTTTTAAAGTGTTTGTAAGCCTCTGTTACAGGGTGGTCTAAGTGAATTACAGAAGTGAAATGAATTATTGCATAACTAAACCTGTATTTAACTGCTAATTGTTAACTGACTTTGTATTGCAGGATACCTGTTCTGGCACTCCCACCAAAGTTCGACATGTTGACTATCAAGCAGAAGGTGAATTTGACTTGGAAGTGTGTTTGAGTGAACCACTTAAAGATTTTGATACTGTGAGTTAGATAGTCTCGAGCAAACTGTTTTAGAGGAAGTTTGTTTCTTTTAAATTTGAGAGGTTAGCTTGATTCATAAACTGTTAATAGTAAGAAAGCTTAAGTAAAGTTGAAGATGTTCTCTAAATTGTGGTTGGTCTACATATTCTCTGGACCAAACCTATGTAAAAATACAACTAAGTTGTGTAACTTCTGTTTAACTTTTAATTTATGTATATCAGATTTTGTTTTTATAAAACCTTTCAATAGAAAAGCTAGCCAAAGGCAGTGCTATCCTGAAGTAATTATAAATCATTCAGCAAGATCTTACTGATTTCCCACCAATTACCCATAATTTCAGTTGTCCAACTGCAGATCAAGAGCAAAGTAGGCAGGTATTTTTGAGCATCTGTACGTGACCTTGCTTTTTCCATTTGACTCTTTACAAAGATCTGACTTGAAGTAATACAAGTGGTAGCTGAACCATACTGCTGATTAGTACCAGTAAACTCATCTACTGCAATTATTTGCTGTGATATTAAATGCCTTTCAAAAAAAAAGATTCTTTATTTGCAAAAATGTTTGAGAAACAGTGTGAAATTAAATACTCTCAAGCAATTGGTGGTCAGTATGGTAAAGCCTAGGCAATAATACTTAAGAGGCAGTAGCCTGATTTTTAAATTTGTACATAGTCATGAGTCCTTTATTAATAGTCAAGAAAACAGTGTCTAGGGAAAGTGCTTGATTCTTCTTAATTTGCTGGTTTTAAATATAAAACTGTTGTAAATGATAACAATGTACAGATTTTCTGCTGAAAGCAGTTAATGTTTCTTTTGTATGGAATGTTGCTGGAAAATAAATGGAATTGCTTTTACTCATGACTCTTCAAATTCTTTTCCTACTAGTGATGTTCTGTGGTTAACAAAATGCAAGGAAAATACTGAAAGCCATGTATCTGAGGCATACTGACACTAGGCTAGATTATGTGTGTGTTAGCACCATCCTCTGACTTGTAGAGACACCTTAAGCACTACTTATTCATGTGCAGGCCATTGGAATGCATTTAAGACTTAAGTTATAATGGGTAAGCCTATTGTTGACCTTTTGCAGACTCCTTAAAAGCAGTTTAGTTTAGTAGATGTCCATTAGTTAGCAAAACTTAGTCGGTTCTAGGAAAACTGCTAAAAGAGTTAGGTGAACACTTATTTTGTTTACCCTACAGGACCTTTTACTAAAGTCGCCTCACCCGGTTTTATCTCTGAAATGGAATTTCTGGGTGTTGGTGTTCACAACGTGGTCAGGTTCAATGGAGGCACTTAAACTTTTCAACTCAAGGGAGTATCCTAGCTGTAAGCAATATTACTAGCTGTCTGATTGTTAGGCACTCTTAAAATCTGGTAGCTTGGTCTGAAGGGGAAACTTCCAAGGAAGCAGAATTGTTGGGATAAGGTTAGAGCTAGGCTTTGGTGTTACGGAGACAGCCTTCCTAGCATATCTATTTTTTTTTTTTTTTCCGGAGAAGACAGCAAAGTGATAGTTCATCTTGCTTACTACTTGGAGTAAACCCTGTCTGCTCTCTCCAGATTGCTTTTCTCATTGCACATTTTCTGGCCACACTGTCCCTGGTGGTTTCTTACGTGGTTTTGTTGTGCAGCACCTAATTGTAGCATGAGCCACAACTTGCTTTGGAACTTTTTTCCTATAGCCCCTTCAATAAAAGCGGTCTTATGGTCAAGCCAAACTCTTGGAAGTCTAACTAGAATAATTTGATGCATTTACTTAAAGCTTCTACATAATGGCTAAAAGGGGTTTAAACTAGACTGCCCAGGTACCACAGTAACTGTTACGAGTGTCTTTGTTTTTAAGTTTGATGATAGGCCTGACAGACAACTGTCTGGGAAGCTACTTGGGAACACTACTTCAAGTCATGGCTACTTAGCATTAGGTTTTAGTGGTTAATGCATCCAATTTGAGTGAGCCAGTTAAAGCTTAACAGAGTTATTTCTGTCTGTGCTACTTGACAGTTAGTACTAAACTATTTTCGTAAGAGTGTTTTGAGAGTATGTGTGTTACTCCTGAATGTTTTAAAGGTTAAGAATGAGTAACAGGAAGCCAAGAACAAAACCATTCATTTCCTAAATAAGCTACAAATAGTTCACACAGTTGAACATAAGTCTGGAATAAAGTATTAATGTTAAAAATATGTTTCTATCCAGTGTGAAATGAGTAAGGCAAGGTTTCTGTAGAGGACTGCGTATTACATGCCTGGAAACTAGTATTTTGTGTCAACTTGATTCTGTCTTCAAAACCTTGAAGTGCAGGTTAGAGGTTGACACTTGGATGTGTCACCGGGCATGTTACCAGGAGACACCAGGTGCTCGTGCTGCTGACACACTTGCGGCAGTGAGTGGTAATGTCTATTTGGTGCTAGTATACTAGAACTGCTATGCAGTGAATTAGGTGATCAGGGAATTGGATTCTATTCATGCTAGTCTTAACCTCAGGCTGTATCTAAATTTTGCACAAATTAAGTGGCAGAACTCTTCAAGGGTATGCCCAGGCTGTTCAGTATATCTTAAATGAATTTAAATCCTGAGGTACTAACATATGTAATCTGCTCTCCTGAGTAACATGGGCCATAAAATACCACCTTCGGTAATCATAGGGTAAATCAATAACTAATCCTTTATGTGGAGAACTAGAATGAGACCATAGAGGAGTGCCTATGCTAGAAGAGAAACAATTAGATGAGATTTTTAAGGGGGCCAGGGAGTGGTGGCATGTTACTATGTACCTGAGTATCAGAACAGTCAGTAGAATGATATTTTTTTAAAGAAGTTTTTCTACACCACTGTAGCTTGCCAAACAGGTTGGATTAGTGGAATACTCAGAAGATTGTTTAGAGGCTTCCAAAGGGTAAGGTTACTTACACCTGATTTCTAAATAAGAATGCACATGGGTGGGGGCAATCCCAAGCACCAATACAGGCTGGGCCATGAGTGGATTGAGAGCAGACCTGCAGAGAAGGACTTGGGGGTGTTAGTGGATGGAAAACTGACTGTGAGCCAGCAATATGCTCTCACAGGCCAGAAAGCCAACCGTGTGCTGGGCTGCATCCAGAGAAGTGTGGCCAGCAGGTCAAGGGAGGGGATTCTCCCCCTCTGCTCCTCTCTCGTGAGACCCCCCCCTGCAGTGCTGTGTCCAGCTCTGGGGCCCCCAACAGCAGAAGGACACGGAGCTGTTAGAGTGAGTCCAGAGGAGGCCACGAAGATGCTGGGGGGGCTGGAGCAGCTCCCCTGGGAGGCCGGGCTGAGAGAGTTGGGGGGGTTCAGCCTGGAGAAGAGAAGGCTCCGGGGAGACCTTAGTGTGGGTTTCCAGTGCTTAAAGGGGGTACAGGAAATGTGAGGAGGGGCTCTTGATTGGGGGGTGTGGGGATAGGATGAGGGGTAACAGTTTTAAACTGAAAGAGGGTAGGTTCAGATCAGATGTAAGGAAGAAATTCTTCACTGAGGCTGGTGAGGCAGCTGTGGCTGCCCCCTCCCTGGCAGGGTTCAAGGCCAGGTTGGACAGGGCTGGGAGCACCCTGGGCTGGGGGAAGGGGGCCCTGCCCATGGCAGGGGGGTGGGAACCTGATGATCTTTCAGGTCCCTTCCAACCCAAACCATGCTATGAGTCTACATTGAAACCAGTAATTATCTACTGAGATAGCTAGAAGACATGCATATATTTCAGAGCTTATTGTATGAAAATTTGTTACTCTACTAGTCTGAAAAACGTCCACGTCTCTGAAATCAGTTTTTATTATGCTTTTTCCATAAGTACACAAAAATATTAATTCCAGAAAGCATCTAAGTATGGAATCTGAGATTGTTAGTGTGGTTCTTAGAGACAAGATAATATATGAAGAAATACTATTGAAACAAGCAAAAAACAACAAAAAAACACCCAAACAAAAAAAAAAAACCTGATCTTTTTGAGTAATTTGAGTTCTCTGTGACAGTCCTTATGATTTTGTGATATGTGCTCTTTGGAACCTGTACTGGAGGAGGAAATGTAGTCTTTCTCTGACTAAAAGATTCAGGTGTGGGGGAATGTGGGAAAACCATTAAGAACCCTAGTACCTGTGCAGCCTAGAAAGATGCTGGGCAAAAAACTGAGACTAGTATTTTTCTGTTATAATGGAACGTACGACAACTAATTCTACTTTGGCAAAAGTCTTGAGATGCTTTTAAATTTCTGCAGAGTAACTTCTCGGTGGTCAGTCCATCAACTTTTATGTATCATTTGAGAGAAATCCGACTAGCCTGCTACGACTTGGCTGAGCTGCTGAGCTCAGGCCGTGGGGTGCCCGGTGCCCCCAGCGCGGCGCGCGGCCGCCCCGTCGCGATGAGCGTCCCTGTTCACCGCGCCGCTCAGTTCCACCTACGTCCCATCCTTTCACCTTCTGAGCCACCTGTGTCACTTCTGCTTCAGAGTATAAGGTCCTGTGTTACTGTTCCTTTTTCTGTGCTAATTTTTCCCTTGCTTTCTTTAGCTCTAGTGTGCTCCAGCTATCTTACAGATAACTAATTCTGCTGGCTTTGTTAAAAGCAAACCTTAGGTGCTGTTCAGCTCATCAGGACTGTGCTGTTCAGCACTCATCCTTACCCAGGAACTAGGTATGTGTTGGTAAAACATTTCAGCCTAGAAATGTAGCTGGTTCATGTTCAGTAACTGTGAAACAGGCTCAGATTTTTAAATTTATCCTGAAGCAGCTGGCCATCCATAGTAGTGTCTTTAATCCTACGAATTATTCCCCTTTGCTTCAGCTACTTAGAGAACCTAATTTTTATGGATTGCATTTAAACAGACTGCTCATGTTGTCTGAATTTGGATGTTTTTTTCCAAAGGTACTGAACACTGAATTAGAAACCAACTTTTTTTGCACTAGAGCCTTCTAGTGGTTAGATGTGGGATAACCTCATCCTTTTCCATTATGTCTGGTAATAGACTAATCTTAAGGAAAAAGAACATCCATATGTTTAGTTGTGCATAGTTGCATACAGTGGAGTTTGCTTCAGATGTAGAACTGGCAAGTACTACTGTCAAACTTTAGACTTATTAGGTTAAATTCCTTTAAAAATAAAATGAACAGGTTGTTATGTAGGCAGCAGAACCTGTCAACCCTGCTTTTTATAGATCCGTGCCTTCTGTTTTATGTTTCTCTTACTCCCTTCACACCAAGTCTTGTCCTCTTTCAGCATCCTTCATGCCATGCCTGGCTAACTGACAGTAGTTTTAGCTATGGCTAATTTAAAGCTCCATCTGTTTTGACTGGGTAGTTGGTATACATGTGCCTGTAGGATGGCAAGCAGAACATTTAAGAGCTAAGCTCTCCCAGTGATTCCTCCACTTGGGCATTAATTGGGCTCTTCCTGCATTACTTAGCTGTTGTCACATAAAGCTAAAAAGGAATATATGTACCTTTTTGTTAAATAGCTGGCAAGCCAGTTTAAAACTAAGAGGGCATAAGACAGATGTTTTGAAAAAGACTTGACAGTACAACAATTTAAGCCTCTTTAAGAAAGCTAGGCTAAATCCATTCTTGTTCCATGAGCCCATTTTTAAGTCAAAAAATGCCGTTCAAACAACATTTTGTTCATGTGTACATTTGCTATAGTTATTTTCAGGATTATCTGCTTTGTTGTTTTGCTAATGCGGCTAAAACCCCTGATGTAGAGGCAAGGCATACATAGAGCAACTATCTATGCTTGAGATGGATCTGTGTGGAAGTCTGCTGGGGATCAGGCATTTCTTTGTCAAAAGTGGACTGGTAAAAGAGACCTTTTGAAAGAATTTTTAACTTACTAGAAGTTCTTGCTCTTCTATGTTTTA